CGTTGTTGTTTTAGAAGTGAGATCGGAATTTCCTTTGTTAATATTTTGAAATATAACCAACGCAATTATAAATACATACATAATCTGTACATATAATAATTAGGGAAACTGAAAGGACTTTTTTTTCACCTACATGATAACTGGCAAACCAATTCATATAAACTGTTTTAAATATATACGTACAACTACATAATTTCAGTTCCAACACTCAAGGAAAAAATTAATAAGCTTTTGAATACCAGCATTTTCTTCATATTTTATTATAATTACAACTTCCATTTTTATCACAGCATCGTAACATTATTGTTCAAGTTTTTAAACTCAAACCGTTACTCTAGTCATACAAATAACCAACACTGGAGTCTAGACCTTATCAGTTTTGTAACTAAGAATAAAAACTATAATATTTCTTCTCTAACTTATCCTTAGGACGTATTATTACTCATTTTTCTTTTGTTATTTATTTATATTGTAATTCTTTACAAAACTAACAAGAAATTACGTTTAGATAAATTTCATTTGAATGAAACTAAGGTTTTCAAATATGACTAGGCGTTTTTATTATTTTACAACTGCATTATCCAGATGAGATAAAAATGTCTGACTTGTAAGTTTTATTGTTTGTCATCTACCGCTAACGATTTCTTTCTTTTGGACCATATTACTGTCTCTGTGTTTTGAGATCTTGCGCTGTGGTCACTGACATGGGATTTTGTTTTTGTGAGTGTTTCCCATATGTTAGATTAATTCCAGCGGTGTCTATTGAAATTTGGATGATTTTTAATTTAATAGCTTCGCAAAATATATCACAGCATGTATACGCCTTTACGCGAGGGTTTGTGTTTTATCAAATCGAATGTAGTGTCCTGGTTTGTCTATTGTGTTTTCACACACTGCTGACTTCGACCCGCGACTATTTTCAATATCCGGCATACGTTTTTAAACCTTATACATATACTCCTTGCATTTGTCCAATGTATAGTATAATAGCCACAGTTAAATAAATAAACAATACATTTGTCACTTTTAATCCTAGAGCTAGGCTCTATCACCTATAAAAATTGTCATTCTTATTATTAATTGTATCGTAAGAACGTATCCTATGATCCCTAACCCAATAAATGAATTCAAATATTTTAAAAAAATATATGGTTTTAGGATTTACTTAGCTATTTATATTATATATTCACAATACGAATAGGTAATTTAATAGCATAAATATTATATATACGAGTATGTAAAATAAACAAGGAATCATATTACAAGTGAATAAAATAATGATTTGATGTCAGATATAAGAACATTATGTTATGGCTTCAACTGAAACAACACGAGGGTAAGAAGTTTATTATTGTTAGGTAATATAATGTTTATTTGATTCTCTTGAGGGAATACCGATTCTGCGTTATAATATTTATAGATAACATATATTCATGAATACCAAGTTATAATATTAATGTTTTTTTAATATTAATTTATTATATTCTTTCACTTTAGAAATTTTCTAAAGAACATCTTCGTGGTATTTGGGTGAATATATATATTTTATCATAAGTTGTACTTTTATACCTAAAAAGGTTATTGTCAATGGTAACTGACCTTTTTAGATGTCTATGAATTCTGAATAAGACAAAAATTAAAGTGATGCATACTAAAGTCATTGCGACTCCCAACGGAAATATAAGAAGTACTATAAGAAAAGTTACAAATACATTGAAATAATGCTAGCACTTCATGCAAAGGGTCTAACAGGTGTTGCGATATTGTTTTTTTTGGGATTATTGAAGTTTGTTCCACTTTTACAGCTTATTAAATATTATATATATTTGAATGACGAGATTATTATTAAGAAAATATATAATTAAAGATGCTTCTAATTTTTATGTTCAGTTTGTGCTATGACAAATAATAACTGTAGTGATTGTATCTAAACAATATATATAATACACTGTCTCACGTACCCCGCTATAAGGCAGCAGTCGCTCGGCAGTCTCACAACTAGCGTGAAGCAGAACGGTGACGTGCGCGTGCGCTCTAGGCGGGGGTAGTAGTGAGCCAGTGACTAGTTATACTTACATAGAGGACCAGGGGTCCTACAATAACTAATAAAAGTTTTAACTACTTTAACTATAGTTTACACTATACCTTCCAACAACATTTCGCATCACATATACAACTGTTGATAATAATTCTTTATAATCTTTTAAATCATGGAATACTTCATAATTCTAAGCTCAACGTTATTTATATTCTAATATTAATTGGGAATTTTTATAATAATGACCTAGCGAGATCTATATATTTGTTATAATAGTGTAAATTAATGTTACTAACATTTCTGTACAGTGATTTAAATTTCCAAATATTTTACAATTGATTTATAATTTAAAATTATAGCCACAGCATATTTTGCATAAAGTTTAATTTTAATTTTAAACTCTTATGAGGGATGACTAGCGCCATCTGTTTGATAATATGAGTAATTAATATCAAAGTTGAAGTACTGCCTAATAATCTTATTTTTAACACAACTTTTATATTTTATTATAGCTAGCAGTCTTGATCCTGTTGATTTAATTGCGAAACACTTTGTTGAATTCGATATAAGAATAAAAAATGTTAGAAATAGAAGTCAACTATACTTTAAAATGAAATTATGCTTTTTGAATATATGTTACTAACTAATTTTATTGTGACTGACACACACTTGAAACTCGTCTGTTCGTGAAACATGAACGGTTGCTGTAAAGTAATCGAAACGTCGGGAAAATTTAAAATTTTAAAATAAAACTGCATAGTTATATCAAGGTTTAAGACATTCGCGAGTATTTATGTACATGAAAGTAATATTCGCGTATTTTTAATAACTATATGTTATTAAAAAACCGCAAATACTCTCGATGTTTCGTTTACTACTGGTATATATGTAGTTTTTAAAAATAATAAAATATATTTATTTTATATAAATGAATTGTAACGTATAATTCAAAACAAAATTGTATATTAAATGTTTTATAAAGTGAATATATCTTGCTTAAAGTTAGTTTAATGTACTTTCCATCCATATAGCGGTTAAGTCGTAACCGAAGTTTTCGGAAGTTATTCTCACACGATGACTCTGTTTCGTACTGGACATAAATTAACTTAAAATATTATTTTCTATAGATAATTTGATTTATTCTTTAAAATTTTAGGGCATCTAAATAAAACTTAAGTTATAACACTTAAAACATTTAACAAAAACTATTTCTCGTATTTTTTAGTAGTGTGTATTGGATTACAGTTTTGTAATTGTTTTCCAATGTAGTAATTATATTATAAATGTACTAAATTTTAATTTCAGTATGAGTTACGTACATCACATCTAATTTCATGTGTATTTGTAAGAAACTTTACTGTTCAGTCTAGTAGTAATTTTATGATGAATCTAAGAAAAGGAATTGAAAAATCATTTCAATTCAACCGACATTTATTTGGTGTATGAACAAAACTGACACTGATAAGTTACAGAAAGTTTTAACCAAAATATAAACAGAAATTGCTTTGATCTTTTACGTGGTCAGTGTGTTTTAGTGGACTTAGAAGCTACATGTCTGTCCGTTCAACTTGTGGGTCAAAACAAATTAATGAAGCAGTCATGAGGTCTGGTGTATTCGATATTAGAGTTCAAACACATATAAATTAAATAAATAAAACACTTTAAATATTTCCAAATATTTTTACATAATATCAAAGAAATGTGTTTCATTTATTTCGATATTATATTATTTAATTAAATTTTGTGTGTCAAGGACATTTTATAAGTCATTTAGAAGTTAATTGTTCACAGCACAGTAATTCGACAAAAATGTGATCCTTAGTTCTGATGAGATCTAAGACATTCGCGAGTATTCATTTAAATGAAACTAATATTATTCCGATTATTACGTGATTCTATTATTTTAAAAAACTACATACTTTCGACGTTACGGTTACTTTTCAGCAACCATGATCACGGTCAGACGAGATGTATATATGGGGCAATTAAATATCTACCATTCATTCATATCTTTCTAATCTGTTAAACTACCAATAAAAAACTTGAAGACAAAGACATCGTTAATTCAATATATGAAATTTAAAAGAACTAAAATTACACCTTGGTTTGTAAGTAGGTACTTAAATTAACTAATTTTTGAGATCATAATACTAATATACTATAAACATTTATACCAAAAAACGATTACATGTGTTATTTCTTCTTTGTATATTTTTTATAAATCAATTATGAATGTTTCAAATGGACACTACAGACTGAAGACACGGTAAAGGACGGTCAATATACTGTAAGTGATGTCTGCAATGAAATTAGGATGTCAACAAGCTCTAAATTGGATTAATCATCACGAATTTTCAACTATCAGGTGTTTAAATTACTAGCTTTTTTCACTATCATCTTCTTTACCTATATCTTTTCTATATGCGCTAATACAGTTTAGAAAAAAATATTAAAAAAGTGCAAACCCACCAAAGTAGACTATTTCGCTTCCCGCTTACTCAGTAGTACTAATAGACTGATGATGACTTACATGGTCTTCCGCCAATACATGTACATATATACGATTATGATTGATTTTTCAATGGCTAAAGACGAAATGGAACTAAGATTAGTAAATAACATGCTCATAATGTTTTCTATGTCAATTAAATTCACTATCGATTCATATCTAAGCATTTTTTTCCACAATATTATGTTAGTTTTACCATGGTTTAAAATTTAAAAATAAAACTGCGGTTTCTATGCAACAATCTGTATAATGATATTCTGCAAGCTTAAAACTATTAACAACAGACAATAAAACAATTTTACTACCAACAAAGTAACATTAAATGCTAAACAATTAATAAAAATAAACTAATGACTAGAATTCATGAAACTAAACAGAACACGCTATAAATATACTCAAGGAAAGAAAACATTTAACAAACAATTCCATCGACGTGTTTTCGGTTGTTCGTATCTAACAGTAGGACATTAATTCGCTGATGCTGCAAGCTTTATCGCAGCATTCGCTAACCACGAAACGTTTCCCTCGGGACATGGCCATGCTCCTGGCTTTTTGGGGTGGAATCCACGGCCAGCCAATTTGGTTCTCCTGATCTTTGTAATACGGTGTTAGCAGAGAATCTACAAATATAAAAAGAATTTAATATGACATCAATTAATGTATGTAATCATTTATAAATTTCAAATATTATGAACAGTTAATAATAATTGAAGTGGTATAATTCTGTTATCTAGTTTCTATGCAATAAGGGTTTTTTACCGCTGCAATGGATTATTTACATAAAAAGGATTTTATACACTGAAAAGTACTTTCACGTTGTATATATATGTACATACTATACATAGTTCCGGATTCGGATCTTTTTTCATTGGGAACTTCATCGTAACACAACATCGCCAGAACTCTGGCGAGGGTTCTGCCACAATAGACCTGGGGGCTGACATCTTGAAGCAGAAGTTGGCTGCCACCGATGTGACCACAACACATAGTGACTAGAGTCGCTAGGACAGCCAACGAGGAAGACTTGATGACGTACATCTAGGAGGACATAAAAAATGGATCATGTTTTCGCTTAATAAGCAAAAATTGCGCAAAATTTTTGTTTTCGGAATTATATTTTAACTATACCCAAAATCGAAAAATATATCTGACAAATAAGCCGTAATGGCTTTTGTGCCTATAGTAAAATCAATATTTAATTGTAAGTAACACATAATTATGTATAATACAAAACTTATGTTTATACCTTTCTTCGAGACTTATCACTTGTGGCAGACCCTAACTATAAAATATAGTAGCGCTACTTACATTTTCTTTTGGAGATGCCTCTCTTAGGTCGTTGTAGTGCCGAATGTGGAGAAATTTCAGATAAACCTCATTTTATATGTTATGAGAACAACGAGCGACATTAATATTCAATAAGTTGCTCGCATAACGTATAATTGCTTAATCATTACTGAAAGGAATCAGGTGCTGTGGTTTGAGGGCAATTATTATAACCCATTTATTGAGCTAATTCAATAATCCGTTCCCTATTCCTAGCTATAATTGTCCATTATAACCATACGACCTAATGCCACTAATAAGAGAACATTCATTGAATAGATACAGAATATTTCTGTTATGTTACCCTTATTTCGGATAAAATGATTATTGTTAATAATCTAAATGTGGAAAACAAGTCCCTTAAATATTCTGAAAGATTATACCTTAAGTAGTCTGTAGACGGTGGATAGCAGAAAAACATTATCGAGACACTTTTGAATATAAAAAACATTTTGTACAATCAAACCTCTGTCAAAAATTGTTATTTGTAAAATAAATAGTTATTTTAAATTAAAATAATACTAAAATACAATGTCAAAATTATAGAGGTTCTGATCGTAGTGTGAAACTAAATTTATTCAAAACAAAAGCGGCGACGATTCAAACAAAGACTAACTTGTACTTAATTATCTTAATCCCAAGACTATTGAGTGAAACTTTAGGTTGTGTGAACAAACGTAAGGAGGGATGCTCATTCCTTTGTCCATTATAAGCAAATTTACATGATACTATCAAATACTCTGACTTTCCCGCTTAGTCGAATAGTAATTTAACAAATTTTTTATGTGAGATATTGTGTTCTTATTGTATATAAAAAATAAATTCATTTTAATACTTTGTAACCTTTTTTGACCTTTCCTTTACTAATGTCATATAATAATGTTTTTTGTGTGACATTAGAACACGTATAAGTTGATCATTGCTAAAAAAATTCAAATATAAATAATAATCTTCGTTCCATTTTTAAGAATAAAAAAACTATAGTTAATTTCAGAATAATAATTCTAAGTGAATGAATTCAGATTTATTACTTTTATTTTACATATAATTTAAAATATCCCACTTAATACATTTTAGTTAAAATAGGCCATGTTCCTGAATTAAATCTGTCAGACATCTACTTTATTGCTCCGATTCTGTAGGCGACAGTGTGTCGCGATTTCAGTTCTTGAGCTCATTTAGGCCGTCAGATAGGATGAAATGATCCGTCAAATTGTAAATTGACAACAGCGGGGGAAAGATGCATATTTACACTTCATTTTGAGGATATTCCACGTCGCTGAACAGATTGAAAATAGTGATTACGACTGGTTCATTAGGTGTAAACAAAATATTCAAATTGATTCATTATTAACATAAAAGTTCTGAAAACATTATATCAATTTATACAGACCACAAATAAAACACGTAAGATGGAAAATTACCGTTTTATATTCAACTGTAAGTTTGTAACACCTTAAAACTATTTTTGGTGAACCAAAAGACAAAATTTCATAACAATTAATCAAACAGATAATAAACAATATTTGTTGTTTTAATAGCGAATATTTCTTTATTATTTGACAGCAATAATATGAAAAGAAATAACATTTAACATATGTATTTGTTTTGTAGCCATAAAATATTATATCTATTTAAAAAAAGGTATTTTTTAATTGTAAGGTGGAAACGAGCAGATGGCCTACTTTCGTGGGCAGCAGTCGTCGCCATCCATGAACTTCTACAACATAAGAGATGTTGTGGATGCGTTGCCAGACTTGGTTGTTAAGGAAGAAGGCAAGGAATGGAACCGTGAAGGGCAACCTGCACTAACTCATCGGGTGAAACGCAGCCAAGACTACTTCACGACGATCTTCTGTGAGAAGGTACTTCCCCGGTCGAGCCAGCCTATGTTTGAGCTGCACTAACTGACCACAGCTAGGCTCTACCACCTTAAAAATTATTCTCGAAATATTACAAATATATGGAATTGAATTGTTTTGAATCAAATGCAAAAATAAAGACATGCCATAAACCAGAAATCAAAATAACTTCAATCAATGTATATCAACAATTAATAAGATCTGTAGGTAGATTGCTGTTTTGTAGTCCTAGGTACGGAAAAAAACTGCTTTCACCTCTGATTAGGCACTTAATGATAGTAAATTATTTTATATCATCGGATGTTACTTTACAAGAGTATGAAAAATTAATATTTGATACGTTTGTTGAATATAAAATTTTTAAACAAACGTTAGGATTACTTTACAGTCATTCAATATAACTTGTCAAAATCTTAAATATTTTTATGAATACTGTACGAGCTACGCTGGACGTTATTACGACATCATGTAAATGTAGGCATCATTATTTTTGTTCTATTATAAAATCTCAATAATTTAATTGAACAACAAGCATACCGAGCGTTCTCGTCCATCAATCAAACATATATTATATCAAATTAATCATTCTACAAAGCAAGATCAATTTATATCATTTTATGAAGTGTACGAGCGAGCAAGTTCCCGTACAAATACTATTTAACTTAAGGAAATACACATTTGTGAGACGAAACCTCTTAGCATCAAATGGATTCACCGTGCGGGTACCGGGTCCATCACATTGCAAGGAGAGGAGCTTCATCAGTGACTGGGACTTGCGACCCAGGTGTACGTTTAAGGGGCCCCTACCTAACGAACGTTAAATACCATCTCTACTGCCCAAGCTCCTCTCTCTACCTGACCAAATTTGAAAAGAATTAATTATGTATATAATATTATCATTATTTAAGATAGTCACCGTGAACATCTGTAGCATAAGAAATGTTGTGGATGCTTTGCCACTCTTGATTGTGGAAGAGGGAGAGGAAAGGGTGGGAAAAGGGCACTCGGCTCTTTCACTCTTAGGACGAAACGTAGTCTTTAATAACTACTGCACCCGATCTTCTGTGAGAGGATTGTTCTCACCGATCGAACTTGCCCATCATCAAGGTATAATAACCTGACCACACTTAGGGCCTGCTACCTTATAAACCTTTAATTATTATTATATTATAAAACTGAATAATATTATTGTCTATGAAAAAACTTAGGGAATTTAGAAGTAAATATTTTATAAGACTTATTTGATCCATATACGAAAATAAATATGCAATAATTAAAAAACTAAAAAAAAAGGCTTAGTAGCATACCGAACTAGAAATTTAACAATAAATAAGAGTTTAAAAAAACGCGTATTCATATTTATATTATTCTTTTCAGTAAAAATTCAAGTAAATTCATAGCAATCATAGCAATTGGAGATAATAGTTTTTAATGATAAGATAAATTGAAATATAAAAGACATTTTCTTTTACAACAATTAGTAACCAATATCTAACGTTATAACCCTTGGATTACTGGTCAACTTCGAATTTGACATTTTTTAAAGAAAGGTCTCAATAGATGTTCTAGAAATATTTTTATAGCTTTTACAATGAATTGCCTTATTTTTTTCTATTCCGTATCGAAAGAATCATAGTGAAAAACACTAAAGTTGAATCTTTTTATCGATTAACCAGAAGGTATTGTTTTTACGAATTACTAAAATATAATTTATAACTACTTTTATTATTTGTTTATCGAAATAATACATTTTATTTATGATTACTTTAATTATTTAATTTCACTTCTACAAAGAATATATATTAAAAACAATGGTTAGGCTTAAGGTTTTAGAACGAAACTTTTTGTTTTATGTCAAAGAATTGAGTTTGGCATTTAGCGACTGGCTCGTCTATAAAGATATTTCAGTCAAATTAAAATCTTATGTTTAGAAGACATAGAGTCTTATTTAATTCAATGTTTGTTATAATTGCAATAGAATTTTATAATATATGGAATGGGGACGAAAGTTTAAAAGACTGTATTTATACCGTTAAGTTCTACTTGGCCCAGTGAATAACTTTCTTTAAGCTTAAAAATATAAAACACTCATATATCTTAACTTACAGTAGTGAAAATAAAATAAAATGTTGAATATTTTAGATCTTGGATTCCTAAGTGTTGCAATTACTGTTGCTTTTACCGGGTTTTTGATTAATAATTATGAGAAGCACGTCCCAGCATTTATAATAAAAGGCTTTAAATATGGAAGTTTCGCGTATCAGGGTTCGGGTGCAAATTATCTTCAAATTATTGAAGTGCCAAAAGCTCTCTATAGACATTTTTACGCTTTTTCTTCAGTATTTAGTACCTTGACTCTTGTATACGCATTTTTAGTGTACTGTTTCGAGTTTAGCGTTCACAGATACGTTGTGTTTATGTTGAAATTAATTCTTGAACAAGATGAGCCCACAGGTGTAGTATGATTGAAAATATATTTATTATTGATGCTATTTCAACATGGATAATTTAAGCATATTATATTGTTACTTCCAGTGTCTGCAACAGCTAGTTTATTAGCTCTTTCGCTTATAACTATACAGTGTATTCGGAGGTGCTATGAAACTTACTATCTTCAAGTGTTTGCTAGCTCAAGTAAAATGAATCTCAGCCATTATATAGCTGGTATTGTACATTACTTTGCGGTTGTGGTGGCTGCAATTGGACAATCACCATTATTCTGTGGTAAAAAAAGATTTTAAAGGCGCATATAACATTTTTTTCTTATAAATATGTTATTAAAGTACTTTCATTTCTGTTATATACTCAAACTTATAATTTTTTCTGAATGATTCATATACATATTTAAAAAAGACTTTTAATCTATGAAAAATATAAAGTCCATAGTTTCATATATTTGTCAGTTTATTTAGTATATTTATATCACAATTTATTAATACAATATGTATCATAATTCAGTCTTTGATGAAAATCAAATCACTAGCATTTTACATACAGCAAAAAAATAAAAGCAAAATTAATTGAATTTTATTTGTACATCACTTGCCTTAATTAATTTTATTAAAAAGATAATTTATAAGGATAATTTTGAACTTTTCAGGCAGCCAAGACCGTAGCAAGATTACATGGATTGACACAAAAACAATTCTAATATTACCTTGTAGCCTAATTTTTATGTGGGCATGGTATGAACAGTATAAGAGCAATATAATATTTGCTAACTTACGAAAAGACAAGAAATCAGGCAAAGTGGTGACCGAGGACCACAAGATACCTTATGGAAGGCTGTTTGAACATGTGTCGAGCCCACACAGAATGTGCGAAGTGATTATGTACATTGTACTGCTACTATTAGTACCCACGAGGACATTCTTCTGTATTTTCTTATGGGTTATTTGTAACCAGGTATTTATTTAATTACCTTACCTTATCCCTACTAATATTATATATGCGTAAGTAACTCTGTCTGTGTGTCTGCCTGTTACGCTTTCACACCTAATCCACTGAACTGATTTTAATGAAATTTGGTACAAAGATATAGTTGACCTTGAAAAAGAACAGGATAGTTTTTATCCCAGACTTTTGAAAGGTTCTTTTGGAAACGCGATATAAACGAACTCCATGGGAGCGAAGCTGCGGACGGAAAGCTAGTTATTAATATACCAATTAATGGATAAAATAATTATTAAATATATCCATTTCAGCCTTTATTAATGTTGATGCAAACTATTGTTTCACATACTTTTAAGTTTTATTCATTTAATATTTTATACTCAGATAATAATGTTATAGATTTATTATTCTTAAGTTCCTTTGTACTGGAGTATTTTTATTTGACGTAATCACTCTCTGCATAAAAAAAAATTACATATATAAATAATTTAATATCTTGCAGGTATCAATGATAAAATTTTGTTTTATTTTCAGGTACAAACTGCGATTCATGCTCATGTATGGTACAAAAAGACATTTAAAGACTATCCTAGTAATAGGACAGCAATAGTTCCTAAATTATTATAAAAATATTACCTTTTATGGTAAAACAGTACTCAAATTACCTTATATGGTAACATAAATAAATATTTACATATTTTATGAGGCTATAATTTATTAAAAGGCATTTATTTATTCTTTTATACAATTTTAAATTAAATAAAAAGATTTATAATAAATATTGTTTTTTATTTACTATGAAAACAATTGCACACAATTTCAAAATCATCCGTGCTGTGTCCTTACTTGAATAGGAAACTGGAAAAAATATATAGATTTAATTAGATTATCTTATAATAGGGAAAGATTCAAGTATTATTAGGATCTACAATTTAATTTAAAAATTGCTAATTGCTGTGATAAAGCTTCATACATTTCTTGAGGAAAGTATATACAGTCGGGAATAATGCAAATCCGCGTAACTAGCTTTGGATAATTCCGCGTATCTGCATTGGAATAAATATATCCAAAGAAAGTTTAAGCTGAAATATTTTCTAAATTAATTAATTTGAAAGTATTTTTTCACAATTAGTAATAAATTAAACACGAAATAGTTACTAATGTGAAAAAAATTACCATAAAAGTCGTTAATATAGAAAATATTTCAGCTTAAACTTTCTTCTGATAATAATCTGCTTCCAATGTAAATACGCGGAATTATCCACTGCTGGTTACGCGGTTTTGCACTATTCCCGACGATATTATATAAGATATATGAAATTAAAACTATGTAATGATTGATTACCTGTAAGGATATCCTTGTGTCTTAGCTCTGAAGACGGATAAAAGTAATGAAAAGAAGACACACACGAGAACTAAACCAACCACAGAATAGAACCTCCTCCTCTTTCCCTCCTGTGGTCGAACATCCTTCCCGTTTACTCCACCGGCAGCCTCAATCATTAATATCATACCGACTACTACAGCACAATCTTATTACTATTGCTAAGGAAATTTTATGGCAATATGGTACTTAAGAACATTATATATCCTACTAATATTATAATTGTGAAAGTTAGTGAGTGTGTGTGTATGTTTGTTACTTCTTCACGCTCAAACGGCTGAAACGATTTTGATAAAATGTTGTATACGTAAGCTGACGTCCAGGAATAAGACATAGGCTACTTTACATCCCGGAAATCCGCGGACAACAGTATATATATATATGTATATATATCATACTTGTATTACATTATAGTATATATATATATGTATATATATCATACTTGTATTACACAAATTTTTATATACGAAAGGTTGCAAATGAGCAGAAAGCCTACTTTATGGCAGTAGTCACCAATAAGCATGGACATCTGTAACATAAGGGATGTTGCGGATGCTTTGCTAGCCTTGTTTGTTTAGGAAAAGATAGGAGTGGAAATAGGGAAAGGGCAACCGTCTCTGTCACTCATCGGACAAAAGGCAGCCATTGTAGATTAGTTAAGTGAACAAAGAATATTTGTAGGTAGAGCCTAGTTGTGGTCAAGTTACTACAGCTCGAACATGAGCTTGCTTGACCAGGGATTACCACCCTCTCATAGAATCAAGTGATGTAGTCATTAGTGGCTGCGTTTTGTTCAATGAGTGAGAGCCAGTTACTCTTTCCATTTTCCCATCATTTCCTATCCCTCTTACCCAAAACTCATCCGTAAAACTATGTTGCGGATGTCCATGGGCGACGTTACTACCTCCATCAGGTAGGTCATCTGCTTGTATTTTCCCTTGCATATAAAAATAATAAACATGGCATAATATGGGTAGTAAAATATGCAGAAGTACCTGTGTAAATTTGTTAATTTCATTTGTTTTGTAACTCTATTTATTACATATATTGAGAAAAGTTGTATTAATTAAAAGATTAATTTACGTGATCTTCAGCAAAAACTATTATAATATTCACACTCATGGGTGAATATGAGTCAATCAAGTAACAACCACATTTATAAATTACAGTTAATTTCATAGTTTTAGCTAAAAATCTTCTATTTACCTTAAACATATTTAAAAAGGATACTTAACATAGCTACAATATAGCTTTCAAGCACAAACTGTCCATGGGAACCACCATTTATATAAACTGGGCCGTTCTTGGTTCTGTGGAAGAATGGTGGACCTCGTATTTGGTTCCACATCTGTCCCGAGACCATAGCAAAACATATGAACACAGCTATAATGGCCCACATCTGCTTATTGTATAGGAACTCGAGATTATTCCGACGGACATAGAAGAAAATTGCTATAAAGATGAACAGAACTAAGAATGCTGCGACTCCTGAATAGTTCGGTGGACGGAATATTCTGATCTGAAATATAAATATGAGTATTTTAATAGCATTTTAAATATCATAGTATTTTTGGATATGATTTTTTTGATCCCATGTTTTACATGTTGCCTGCTGGGTAGGGATATTGAAAAAGGTTTGGAAATTGAAGAAGTGTAATATTTTTTTATATAACAATATTGAAGTGAATAAATTTTAGAAATAGTGTAGTTTGAGAACAAACTAGAGTAATATGTATTTTTAACTGACAATGCTTATTTAGTTGAAAATCTTTTTTTTAATCTTTCAGTGTCATTATGAATTTATACCCGCGACTCCTTCTCATTATCTACACCGACTTCTGAATGTTATTTAATATTAATAATGCATATTTAAATAAAATAGTCAATAAAAGCCAGCGACATCTAGACTCTGTAAAATGTAACTCCATGCAAATCTATTTTCATGGCACATTGCTAAAGGAATTTTTGACTAAATAATTAATAACATTTTAATTTCCAAACAACATCACTGTAAAGTTTAATCAGAATTTTTCAGTATTTTTGGTATCAAAAAGCAACAAATGTGTGTCTCACAAACTTTAACTGAATCTTTGAGTAGAGAAAAATTAAATTTTGTATTAAATAACATACTTGAACATCAGTTCTGTCTTGAATCCACTTAGCAATAGCCTCCGCATGAATACCAGCTCTCTCAAAGTCCATGGAATCAGCGGGTTTTGGTTTACCTTTGGCGGGGAAGTGCATGATCACTGGAGCTGTGTTCAGTCGTAACTGGAATTGTAAAAAAGGTAAGGAATTAATTTTGTACATGAAAACACAGTTGTGAGGTAGAACATGAATTGATTTGTATAAATTTAAAAAATAAAGGTATGAATAGCAACTATAAATATTTACTTTTATAGCAACAACATTATCCCTTGTCATTTAATCATTTGACTAAATAGCTTATATACAATGTTCTTCAATTTTGAATTAGTACATTATGTTTTAACTAGTACCAAAATGATGTAGGTAAATGTTCCATAACATTATATATTTTTGTATCATTTAGATTTTTAAACTCTTATTATGAAAAGGAATTCTTTTTAGAGATTATAACAGACTTAATATTTTGATTTGAAGAAGCTTTACATTCCAAACATTTCTAATGCCGTTGAAGTATATTGATGTCTAAAGGCAAGATGAGATTAGGTTTGGCTTAAATTAAATATCTTATTAGAAGTTAGGAAACATTAATGAATGTTGTATTACCATTTGGAAAATATCAGATCCTTCATCAAAGTCAACTATACCAAAGAATAGTTTATCCGAGTAGGCAGATGAGAATCGGAATGAATTAGCAACGATCGTATACTCGTCGTATACATGCTGGCAGATAGCACACTTTCTAGATGGTGCCATTGCTGTAAACATGACCACGAAGGAGTAGTCTCTAGGCGGAGAGCGTACATATTCTTTGAATCTATTGAGATTCAGCGATATCATAGAATATTTCGCAGTCAAGTCTTTAAGATTACGGACTTTCTCTTCGAGCTGCAAAAAATATAATAATAATACACATAAATCGCATGATAAGTAATAGGCGGCTTAGATATATAATAAAAATGTTAAAACTTACTCCTTTACCACGGTTTTGAGCATTCGCATCGTAATAAGTTAAGAATAATGTAAAAAATAATAGGGATTTATATTTCATCTTATCAATATATTTTTAATTTACAATATTCGATTTAAGTGAGCCAAAATTTTACAAACTTCTTAGCCAATAAGTAATCGCCAAGCAGTATTGCATACCAATTGACAGATGCTGTTATTAATGTCATCACAATATTTACAGATTAAATGAAAATATTGCCAATTTCAACTACCAAGATAAAGAAATATTTTTTAAACTTGAATGTAAACTTCAATATCTTACAAAATCTATTTAAATTTATATACATACATTTTTGGTGAGACAATAATATTATAAAATTTACATAATTTTCTTATAATTGCACATATTTAAATTTATCATCAGTGTTTTTGATACTAAACTTGTTAGGGTGATTATGTTCTTGTCTACCTTTAGTAAATACTAATTGGATATCAATACTTTCATATTGTGCCATTTTCTTTCTTGTATTCATAAATATACGCCACGCCTGGAACATCTTTTAATTAAGGCTTTCGAAGTAAAACGATGCTTTGTACATCACGTGATGAGACATGTCGATTATTATTATCATTGGACTGACGTGACTCCTCAATTATGTGAACAATTTTTCATTTTTTCAACACAATAATTACAAGTTTTCTTATGATTTGACTATATTAATATGGAATGTCGAATATTCTTATAAATCTGAAGATATATTAGTACGAAATAATATATACCTATAATTGAGGGGTTTTTATACCATTAAAGAAGTAATAGTTATTTTATTAATGGGAATATGTTTACGTATCTGCGTTTGAAAATGTAATATTTAAATAATTAAAAAACCTAGTATCTTATTTACGTGCTTAAGAATAAGAAGATGAAAAGATATTATGTCACTTGCTGTGCCGAGATACTTTTTCACGTAATTGGCAACTTGAATAAATTGAATTCATTTGTCGTTCGTCTTTGAATAGTTTTTTAAATATAAAGGAAACACGTCTGAGCGTTTGAAAATTTATTGCAAATGCCTAAGACGTTTAAACACAAGTACTTAGTACCTATTTAAACATTGTGTCCAATTCGTGGCCTTCAAATGAAAAACGAAAGCCTATGCCACAAATTTATTCCTGACCATGATTATTTTAATGGAATATTAAATTGTTTTTAGTTCTTTAGCCAATATTTTTTGAAAAGTAGTTATTCCTAAAGTATCTTACCAGTTTTAATGATAAGTTAAAAGTTTGGTAGATAAGTCATGTGTCCAGAGGTAGGTACTGATGGTCTTTCAGAGATAGGTAGGTGTTTAAGTAAAAACGTATTTTTGTAATATAAGTAACATTACAAAGAGCTCTGCTTATTTAAGAATTTTTTCTAGAAAATGATTGGATTTCTCGTAGTCCTGAGATAGTTAAAATGTTTTAGGGTTATGGTTACGTTATCAGTAAACAGCGATATGATATGATAAAAAACTATATCTTATTGGAATAATCGTTACAACAATACGCAACATTTTCAGAATATTCATGGAAGCTACTAGTCTGTAACACGAATGGTTTGTAGTTTCATAATCAGTTTTATTTATTTTAAAAAGTAGTCGTTGACATACATTTTAAAGATGTGTACAATCAACTTAATTAACCACTTTACGGATTATTTATTACTATTAATTATCATACATTAATAACATTAAATAATCGTAGAACCATTGTAAGTTCCCATCACGAGACTTTCATTTTCGATTTTTTAAGTTATATACCTACCTGGATTTTTCTTAGGTTTGCGGAAAACTATGTTTAGTTTGAAGTTTTGGAAAGAGCACTGGACGCTTGAAATATATCTTTTGGACATACGAATGGTAACGGCTAAGTCCTAAATATCCTACGTATTTGATTTTTCTGTTTCCTTAACAGCTGTTTTGGTTTTCAATGTGATATTTTCTACGACAAATAGCAATTATTCTATTACCAATTTCATACAGGGGTCACAAATGAAAAATTTGGATGTCAGTCTTACGGAATGAGTGTTTAATTTTTTTGTTAGGTACGTAACTAGTAAAGCATCAGTAATGTTTTAGAGTTGAGAAAAATTAATACGTTACAGTATAACAATGGAAATGAGGTGGGGTTAATGTTTGCAGTTGAAGTGAAACACTCGATTCATAATTTATATTACTTTTTAAAATATTTTATTAACACAATTCATTCAATAACACCAAAGATTATAACATTCTCTAACATGAAATCTAAAATAATACAATTTTTACCTATTTGTATTTATTTGACTTACCAATTATTTATAATTCATTCAAACATCATTTCGACTATGAGGTATACATAAAAAATATTTTGGATATAGTTCACATAGCATCAAGTCGCCGGAAACTTTAAATATACTCTTAATAATTTGATATAGAACATGTGTGCTCTTATATAACCATACTGTCATCTTAAATTTATCGGGTCGCTCATTATATGAAGATCGATGAGGAAAATAAAACACAAAACAAGTAGAAACAAAATAATATGGAATGTACAAATCATGTTTATTAACTGATCCCTGGCAATACATTGTTTGACTGGCTGCGGATACAAATCGGTCGTCATAGAACAGCAATCCATCGGTACATAATACAGGTACAGCACGAATAGTATGGATAAGTACACCCACTAAACACTGAAAGCTTTAAGAGCATTCACAATAAAGCCAGGACCAACTCGGTAAACTCTCAGCAATAAATACTGGTACACAGTACCTCGGGGGCTTAACGGATCATAAATTACTTTAACTTGTTTGGACTTAATTTTCTACTCTAACTGTACATTAGTTTCGCCTTAACGCTAAAATAATCTAAAATTGATATCGCCAGATGTACGGATCGCGACGGGGTTGTGGACGCGCAACTAAACTGATATGTTGGTGAAACATACTCCGTTCACCCGAACGAAATGTATAGCAGAAATTATATAAATAAAGACGTAGACATCGCGCGGTAGCGTCAGCCATGATTCGGATTCGTGCTTCAATAGTAAATGAAAAGTTGTAAGTCGCGTCACCGTGTGGACGAGGGCGCAGCATCGGGCCGGCGTCCACAGGTTATGCGTCAAGCAAGATTGGTACTACAAGATGAGTGTCTCGCCCGCTACCGGCTAAACCCTGCGCGATAGATGTTAGACAGCACAGGGAACGGATTGTTATTAGATAATTTAACTCTGTTTCGTGTAAAGGTAGATGGCTACGATGAGACCGTATAGACCCAACACTTCGGCGAAAATGAGGATAAGGATCATTCCGACGAATAACCTAGGCTGTTGGGCTGTACCGCGGACACCGGCATCACCCACAATGCCTATGGCGAAACCAGCGGCAAGACCGGAGAAGCCTACAGCGAGACCCGCTCCCAAATGAATGAATCCTCTGAAAATCAACAGAGAAAACACTTAGTATAAGATTCATTGATAAATGCAATCCATTTTTCGTATCTAGGACACATTTTAAAGCATAAAAATACAATAAGAATCTTTACTAGCTATTATCAAGGTTGAGGATTTAAAGAAATTGTTTCAAAGAAAAATTCTTATTGAAATAGATGTCTACTTACTTGAAGAGGGAGTAAGTTGCTGGGGGTTCGAGGGAACCAGCAATAAGTACAGCCACTACGAGCCCGTAGATGGCAATGATACCCGCCATGACAACGGGAATGATGGATTTCATGATGAGCTCGGGCCGCATCACCGACATGGCGGCGATACCGGTACCTGACTTGGCCGTACCATAGGCGGCTCCCAGGGCTGGAAAAATTAACATATCATGTTAAACTTGTATATGAATTACATAACATTTTTTTATAGTTATTAGGACAGAAATGTAAAACTAGTATGTATGAGAAATCTATTAAAATGAGCTTGTTTTATGTCAATTATGTAATAATTGCTGAATTAGGTCATTCAAATTGTTGAAAATGCAAAATAATAGTTACTTACACAAAATACATTATATAAAAAAGATAGTATTGTTTCACACGGAATGTAGTAACAGAATAATATTACAGTGTCATTTTATAGAATGATTCATCGAAAGCAAAACAAATAATTAGACTTGATTCAAATTATAACTATTATATTATTCTGAGTCTTAAAATTTCCATAACTTATTAACCTTTTTATGTTTGATTTAAAATCATGTTTTAGGCTCAAGTGAAAAGGAATTGTTCTTTATACATCACATGATGTAACAGTAGACTTTTCCTTAACATTCTTGCAATAATTGCAGAATTTGTTCAATTCATTGTCTGCTATTTCATACATAGCAGATATTTTAACTTTAAATATCATTGGTTATATCTTAAGTATGTATAGAACTTAGGATTGCTATGATAATCAGTTTTTTGCTTATACAAAATCATTTTCAATTAATTGAGCTATGATGAATATGCCAATTGTAATTACTGCTGATTCTAGACATAAGTTTAAAGGTGTGGCATAAATTTAGTTTTAATTTGGTCTCCAATCCACATTTCAAATTTCTCATTGTGTAGTATATTCTCATAGCACTAGTAGTAGTACAATAGGACTTAGAATATTTTTTTAAGTTAAAACTTGTGACTTAATCACATGACCAAATTACAATCATGTGATGATAAGGAAACGAAATCCTTCAAGTTAAGATTAAGTTTGATGTCCTGGTATTTCAGGTAAGCCTCTCTGAAATTACGATAGCTAGGCTTCGCGTATTACGCATTAATATGTTAAATCTTTTATATGCATTTTATCTGCATTCCAATCTGCTAATGATTCGCCCAAACATAATTCTTGATGAATTAGATCGTTCTGTGGTTCATAACCTGTATTGATTAGGTTATATCCACAGGTTTGTAAAATGTCAACTGGTTTTTAGTTTAGTACTGCCAACATAAAACCTTCTACATCAATCACATGATATCTAAATCATATTTGTACAACCGCGTTACGCCCATTGACGTCCCCAAACATAATCCACGAAAAACGTTGATGAAATTACAATCGATACATATGCGGTACTATAGATACTTAGCTTTACTGTGTGTCAAGGTGCGGCTGCTCCTAAATTTAGGACTCTTAAAATAAACGACTTCTAATCATAATTACCGCATAATACAAAGGAATCATACTCATATCGGAATACTTAAAAGTCGTAAACTTTAAAATCATGAATATTTTTTGATGATTTATGAACGACAGCCATTTCAGACTTAACACAAAGTATGTACATACCGCTGAAAATGATAGCAGACGCCGCCCCCATAACTCCAAAGAAGGGTCCATAGATAGGATTTGACTCGGCCATTTTAGATGTGTAGTGTGGGAGTATTTACAGGTCCCAAAAACTGTGATGACTATCTGCAAACACTCACTCCACGAAACTACTTTAGCACAGACAAATATGGCTCAAGCTTTGCAGACTCAATAGAATGGGTCATATGACGATTGATGTTCAAGGCAGTACTCGATATGCCCTAACTTCTGATTGGCTTTTGTACGCAACTTCCGAAATGCGCAGCCAATCCTGAGCTTACAAACTCCGAGACGAATGACGTAGAACATTGATGTGGATCGCTGGCCAGCATTTTTAGATTGCGCATGTTAAATTGTAACGTTACAATACTTTTAAATTAATTTATACGTAAAACTGTTATGAAAAAGATTGCACAAACACACTTAATAAAAATAAATAATTATTTTTCTTAAATTCGATACATAAAAAATTCAATTAAAGGGATGGTTTAATTAAAAGGTTTAAAAAGTTCGTGTATTGTTTCAACTAACATTGTTGCCAGCTTTTAACGCGCAAAAATTTAAATAACCGTTCTAAGAAAATTGTCAATTCCTTTAAGTATTACTATTATCAAGATTTTGAAATTAAGCATAACCAATAATGAGAATTAGATTTTACTTTTAATTTCCACTTCTGAGAGAATTATTAACTAAATACTGGTATACAACAGTTGCAATTTGCGTTTATTCTATTGTTATTGTTTTAATTAATGTATCAATCAAATCAGCCTATCACCGTCCACTTCTGAACATATGCCTTCCCCAAAGTATGCCAACTGCCCCGGTCCAGAAGCTGCTAGCCATCTTTTTTCAATCGTCTGTTAATCTTTCTATAAAGACTACACTACGCTACATTTACTTTTCTGGCCCTGAAAAATGACTCTTTTCGGGTTCGTTCTGCCAGAGAAACTGACGTCTAACAAACTCAAAGGGAAATATCGCAGTTATTGTATTCTCAACATATCTTTGAGAATACAAACTCTTTAGTTTATAACTCGCTGCAATACCTCCGAGTTTAGAATGAACCTGTTTTAAAGAAGAGTTAAGTTATCATTTGTATTTAAATATATAGATAATACAGGCCTCCAAAAATTAACAATCAATCTGGTCTCGGAGAATTCGGATAATCAAAATAATAGCTTCCCTTAACAAATGGAATAAACTATAGATTAAAATGGATTTGTTTCTGTTAAAGCGTATGAGCAGTGATACAAAAAGTAGATACGATTTTGAGGTATCCATGCAAATCTATGGTGGTAGAGCCTAGCTGTGGTCAAGTTACTGCAGCTGGAAAATGGACTAGCCCGACCTGGGAAGTACCAACTTTTCACAAAAGATCCGCGTGAAGTAGTTTGAAATGGCTGCGTTTCGTCGGACGAGTGACAGCCGATTGCTCTTTTCCTTTTCCCATCCTTTCCCCTCCCTTTTCCCCAAATCAAGAGTTGACACTCATCGGTCGAATTGTGTTGCGGATGTCCATGGGCGGCGGTACTACCTCCATCAGGTAGACCGTCTGTTCGTTTGCCCTCTTTAACATAAAAAAAATGTTAGGACCACATCCTACGCAAATAGAGATATGCAAGGAACATAATTATTCATTAACAAAACAGTTACTATTAAAACGAAACTCTTATTATAACGCTCCCAAAATTTATAGTCAATATGTGGAATGTTTCATTACATTAACCTACGTGGTGGGGCTAAAGCAGGGTTGCAAATACCAATTGAAATTATAATTAAAAAATGGTTATCATTTCTGCTAAAGCTTTACTATTATTATTTTTTTTGATCATCATCATCTCATCTCATCAATCAATGAAGATTGAACAGTCGATTTTAATAATACAAATAAAATATTTATTAAAGTTGTCACAGTGTTCTTTTAAAATGAAAAAGAGTTTGTTAAAATAATATGGTCTCAAGAAATTGTGGATCATTATGTTTGGGCTTAAGAAGTCAAGTGGTTTAAACAGTCTGGTTTCCCAACTAATTTTATATTAAAATAAATAAGGAAAAGTTCATCGAAAATCTCTTTGCTGTCAAAAGTGATTAATTGAATTATTATATCAAGCTGCAGCTGTTGGACTAACTAGAAGAATGTTATATAGAACCAAAAATATGTTTCTTTCCTTTTAAACTTCTAATTTTTAGTTACTCGGCTGATCCTAAGCTAATATAGTAAAGAAAAGATTTGGTTACATCTAAGCTAGGGTTGTAGGTATTGGCATTGTAGGGCCTTCACTTGCGTCTTATACAAAACATTTCTGTCGAAGTAATAGTCATATGACCTACCAGTTGGGATTATACAGTTGAGAAACCAGTTTTTTGCTTGCCCCTAAGATAGGCATAGTAGAATAGTCTGGTGGGTGATGTGTTCTCCTGTAACAAGCGTACGAGTGCCATATATTCCATGCACCCTCTGGCAACGAAGGCTCTACTAAAACGAAAATAAAAATTCAAAGAACTAACGATCAACAAATTTTAAAACTACAACTTATTTTGTACAAAAACAAAATAGAATACACACTAAAACAATAAAAGTTAACCACGGCCAGCGCTATCGAAAAATGGCTGTTGACATGTATGGCAATAAAATCAAAAAGATATGTCAACGTCAAATGTCAAATGTCAAACGTCAAGTGTCAAAGCAATGCCTTGAAATGTTGTGTATCGGTAATTTTGGTTATGTTTTTGTACATGTGACTTTGTAATAAATAAGTATCAATGAAACGGATTTTGTTTTAAAAGAAGCATAATGAAGTATAATTATAAGGTTAGTCGTGGTTGTTATAAACTGTCGCATGTTAATTTAATTATTTTTAATTACTTCTTTTGTTAAAACCATTTACTTTTTGCCAAGAACATCAGATATTTCTGTATATTTTCAATGATTATGGCTTCAGAATGTATGGGAAGTTATTTTTTTAACATATATATCTATATTTTTAGTATATATTTATTTTTAAACATATCTTTGTAATGTTAATTGCTCTTTGTTTTTGCAGTTTCAAAATTTACTGGGTACAGTGTACCGCCATGGTGATATATTGTTCACTAATGATGGAAACTGTGTTATTAGTCCCGTTGGAAACAGGATAACTATATACAATCTGAAACAGTAAGTCTTAAAATCTACCATACAATATATGTAAGGTTTTTTATGTTATTCTTCTTTCAAGCCTCTTTCTTCATCTAATTACGTTCTTTGCTTGTATACAATGTATATATATGTGTAACTGTGAATAGTATTTAAGCTAATTAATATGTTTCAGGAATAAAAGCAATACTCTCCCTATAGAAAGTCACTATAATTATACAGCTATCGACATATCACCAAATGGATCAGTACTACTTGCTATCAATGAAAGTAGGTTCTTTTACACTATAATAGTATTTTCCCTGAATTTATCTGCATGTACTTTCTAAAATTTTAAGATAAATATATTAGGTCAAATAATAGATATGGTGATTAACAGGAAAAGGAATTTTAATATCCACTTTTTTCTACAATCCTAGAGATTGAATGTATTAAAATATATAGCCAATATCTTATTCTGATGTGTAATCTTTTATTGTAAAATTTCATCAGAATCTGTTAAGCAACTTGTTTCTGGAAGACACACACACCTACCGCCATACCCTAAGCTTCACAAATATATGCAAAATAATTAAATATTGAAAGTATTTATTTACATTAATTAATTATTTATTTTATTTAGAGGGTGAAGCACAAATGATCAGCCTCGTAACATGCACAGTCATACACAGGTATAAGTTCAAGCAGCAAGTTAATGCTGTTAGATTCAGTCCCGACGGGAAGCTGTTTGCAGCTTGTTGTGACGATACAGGTGAATATATTAATAGCTTAGACTCTAAGACCCCGTTATACCTAATAATGTTAAATAAGTAACAGCTTGTTAAGGCTGTTGATGGTCTGTTAGACATTAATATTAATTCCTGCTCTAGAACTCCGTCAAATGGCTGATGGACTTTTAATCTATTGTCAAAACACAGATGTTAATTCCTGACTTTTAGAGTATACCTCTTATTATTTTTTGCAAACTTTCTTTAAATACAATTTGGTCTGAATATTGCAGAGATACTTACAAATTTTCTTTATACATATGTATGTACATATTAATCTATGCCCCATGACAGATTTTATTTTTTTGCTATTTCTCAAGAATCACCTGTAGAATTAAGAATTAGAATATATATTTATTAAGTTTATTTCAATAATTTTCAGTTTTCATCATGACTGCACCCAGTGCATTCACGGGAGAGTTCCGTTCGTTCATAATGAGACGTGTTTTTAAAAAGTCACATGACGAAGTCACTTGTTTGGACTGGTCTAGCTGCGGAAAGTTACTTGCGGTCGGTTCAAAAGACACAACAACCAAAATATACACTGCTGAATACTTGGACAACCTAAATATGTACTCATTAAGTGGTCACACTGACAAGATTGTTGGTGTATTCTTCGAGCAGAAGAGTTTGGACCTTATAACTGTGAGCCGTAATGGTCAGGTTTGCTTGTGGGATGCTAGTCTTGATTCAGATAGCTTAGTTACCTCAGAGGTACAGATATCACATAAGAAGAGACGGAAATTGCAAAAGGAAGCCGAATTAGTTGAGGATGAGGTTGATGAAGAGAATCTAGTTGAAAAGGATAAAGAATATGTGGGTATTGGTTCATATTTTATAAATTCTGCCTTATTTTTATTAAGTTTAAGTGCAAATTTGAGTATTTCTCCCATACTTTGCTTTCTTGGAAAAAAACATTGTTCTTACTAAACTGAGTTTAAAAACATACATATGATTTAACTCAAATCATATTAGGCATATAATAATTACTTTTCTAGCAAATTTTTCATAATGAATCACAATTAATTCATAGGAGAGTGATAAAGATGTTGAAATAGAAGAGGAACAAAAGACAGATAGCGGCAAAAAACTCCAATACAATAAACTTGGGAGGCATTATATAGGGGATTCAATAAGAAACGGAAATCATAAGGTGAAATTAACCGCTGCGGCGTACCACAAGGGAACGAAAATATTAGTGACAGGTATATATTTTCATTTTTGTACTTGTTTTTGTCTGTTACTTCTTCTTTATTGTCTTTGGTATGGTATTTAGTGATAAATCTATGTACTTATTTTTATATGAATCGTTTATATGAGACATTTTTAATCTGTATCACATGAATTAATATGTATTACATACACCTTATAATATGTAATCTCATGAGAAGGTAGAGGAATGAAAGGTTAAACCAAAGGCTATACATTATTCTGATTTCTAAGCTACATTATTGAGAAATTGCATCAAAATCGAGTTAGTATATTAATGTGGAAGATCAAAAAACATTCGACTATTTATGAGTAGGATTATTACAAGTAACAGACCAACTGACAGACATTCACATCTCGTCTTTGTGATCACGGTTGCTGAAAAGTAACCGAAACGTTGGGATAAGTAGTTGTTACAATAATAAAGTACGCGAGGTATAATCAAAACAATATGTCAGTTATTATAAGTAATATAAAATTTAATAACACTCTATCTAGATGAAATATCTGTATAATTTTTTTTTGAATTTCAATTCCAGGTTTCTCCACTGGTATATTCTTTCTTCATGAGATGCCAGACGTGAATCTCATCCACTCCTTGAGTATATCAGAACATAGGATTGGCAGCATCTCGATATCTCACCAGGGCGACTGGATAGCATTCGGATGTCCCAACATTGGGCAACTGTTGGTTTGGGAGTGGCAGAGTAAGTCATTAATATACACAAACACACACACACACACACACACACACACACACACACACACACACACACACACACACACACACACACACACACACACACACACACACACACACACACACACAGAAAAATGCATAATTACACACGGTCATGCTCAAACACATACACACAGTGGCGGCTGTACCTTAAGTGCACTCGTGCGCTGAACATCCAATTCAAAAGATTTAAAAAATTATAAAATATTACTTCATCTTTATTTTTAAATTACCATTTTAATATTTATTTTTTAAACATATAAAAACGTATAAAAAATGAAACTTTCTAATTATGGTCAAAAAGTTTGAGCGCTTTACGAAACTAATATCTCGTGCGCTTCGGCGAGTGCACGAGGACTGCTAGTACATCTTGTATGAGATACGCATTAATACTTCGACGCGTGAAACAAAAGATAGTTCATAGAAATGTACCGAGTAATGAGTCGGCTCTCGAGCGCCGCACGAGCGACCGAAGATTACCGAGAGCACCCGATGTATGACGGATTGGGCCATGATTGACATCTCCTTATGTTTTGTTGCATTTTCTAATTTTAATATTTTAGTAAAGTGCACCACCAGTTCGATTAGACACCAGCCGCCACTGCATACACATATATCTATTTAATTTATTAATCAATAATAAAAGATAAATATTATGTCGTATTATAGTAAATTAAACACTAAATAATTACTAACTGTGAAAAAATGACCTTAAAAGGCGTAAATTTCTTCTGATAATCTGCTTCCAATGTAGATATGCGGAATTATCAAATGCTAGTTACTCTATTTTGCGCTATCCCCAAAAATATTTATTTTAATAATCTTCCTTATGACCCTAACATACGGTCTATTTCAGGCGAGCAGTATGTCATGAAGCAGCAGGGTCACTCGTTAGACATGACCTGCCTCGCGTATTCGCCTGACGGCCTCTACATAGTCACAGGCGGTTACGACGGGAAGGTCAAAGTATGGAACACCAGTTCGGGCTTTTGTTTCGTGACCTTCAGTGAACATAAGTCAACGGTGACCGGGATTACATTCAGTGCGAATAAGAAGTTCTTTGTATCTTCATCTCTCGATGGCACTGTGAGATGTTATGATCTGACTAGGTAATGAATATATACATATATTCACTATATTTATTATACAGGGTGACTGGTGAATTACTATCAATATTTAAGGAGCATACTCGGTACATGATTCTCATTCGAATTATGTAAAAAAAATAGGTACTTAATTTTTGACCAAATTTCCGTATAAATAAATAAAATGTTGACACGTTCCAAGTGTTCCAAGTGTGGACGCGTGCGGCGGCGTGCTGATACAACACCACGCCGCCACGCGCGTATGTGTGAGTGTGTGTGTATACCTAATCTGTAGGGTGTTCATACGATGCGTAATTAATTACATAACTTTTGGTTAACTTTACTTAGAAGTTTATTAATATTTATGTTATATTAATTTTTATTTTGTCATATATGATCGTCAAATATCACGTCCTCAAATATCAATAGTAATTCACCAGTCACCCTTTATATCTAATATGTCATACCTACATAAGCTTCTCAGGAAACTTACTAAATGAGTATAAAAAATTCTATAAACTCAGTAATTTAATTAAGTATACAGGGTGACTGGTGAATTACTATCGATACTTGAGGACGTGATATTTGATGATCATATATGACAAAATAAAAATTAATATAACATAAATATTAATAAACTTCTAGGTAAAGTTAACCAAAAGTTATGTAATTAATTACGCATCGTGTGAACACCCTACAGATTAGGTATACACTCACACACACATACGCATGCGGCGGTGTAGTGTTGTATCAGCACGCCGCCGTACGCGTCCACACTTGGAACACTTGGAACGTGTCAACACTTTATTTATTTAAACGGAAATTTGGTCAAAAATTAAGTGCCTATTTTTTTTACATAATTCGAATGAGAATCGTGTACCGAGTATTCTTCTTAAATATTGATAGTAATTCACCAGTCACCCTGTATATATATATATTTTTTTGCAATATTCAATATCTATAGGCCATTATTTGTATTAAACTTAATTTCTATATCAGGTATCGTAATTTCCGTACTCTCTCATCTCCGACCCTGGTTCAGTTTGGTTGCGTGTCTTTGGACAGCAGCAGTGAACTTTGTGCTGCTGGTGGTCAAGATGTGTTCGAGATATATCTATGGTCCGTCAAGTTTGGGAGACTTTTGGAGGTATGGCTATGATTATAATAGAGTAGTAGTACTTATGATACGCCAATTTCACATATATGTTTGTTTATTTAATATATAGAATGACTAGTTTTTGCCCGCGACTTCGTCCGCGTTAATTTCATCATTAGTAATATATGTATAGCTGACCGGGCGAACTCTATTCCGTCCTAGAGGCCATAAATAATCAGGTTTTTCCTGTTTCAATCGAACAGAATGATTGACATATTAGTTAGTTGTCAAATCTAATGTCAAAGAAAACATTTGTATGGGAAATAAAAAAGGGCTGTTTTTATTGTTACACTAAAATGAAAATGAATCAATTTTTCTCACCTTTTAAACCTTCCCTGAACCTCCACGAACATTTCAAGACTAAGATAAGATAAATCCGTTCAGCCGTTCTCAAGTTTTAGCGAGACTAAGGAACAGCACTCCATTTTTATATATATAGAAGATTATTGTCATCGTCATCGGCCTATCAGAGCCCACTCTTGAGCATAGAGTATTTAGACACCACTGACAGACGGTGAATGAAAACATCGTGAGGAAACTTGGACTTACAAGTACAAATTATAAGTTTGAAATCACCAATCCGTTTTGAGCAAGCGTTTTGATTACTGCTTAAATCTTCTCCATGTGAGAAGAGGCCTTTGCTCAGCAGAATCATTGTACCGATACTAAATTTCATGACAAAGAAATTGCTGCAATCATTAATAGATTTTGAATAGTAAAATGAGCTATACTATTACTATGTCTGATATAGGTTAATTTAATTAATTTATTTGTCACGAGGTGTATTAATAATGTATTATACTGTTCTATAGTTATGAAATAAGCAGAATTTTTTTTAATTTATTGGCAAGGTCTATATAAATGTATATTTCCCAGGTTCTCGCGGGTCATTCAGCCCCAGTGGCTAGTTTGTCGTTCAGTCCACTGTTATCTAGTTCCAAACTGGCTTCCGCGTCCTGGGACAAAACAGTCAAGATATGGAACTGTATTGAAACAAGTTCGGACTGTGAAACTATACAACTCAATTCAGACGCACTTCAAGTGACTTTCAGACCCGATGGAGAAGAGGTATGTTTGAGATTTTTTTTGGATTTTTCCTATTGAAATTATTATTAAAATAGTTAGCAGAGTAAGATTTCTATATTATTTATTTCTATTGGAACGAAAAACTAAACAATTTCACATATCAGTTCTGAGTTCTGCTCAGTGTTGCCAATCCCTTCTACAAAGGCTACTAACAAATTATCAAGTGTTACTACTATACAGTTTTTCTTAATACTATTTTATTAATATAACGCCTATAATAAAATTTATAATCTAATAATTCCCGATGTAGACTCTGTTTTTTTTGGTTTAATGTTTGGGGATCATTCCCAAAATACTGTTTAGACCTTGTATATGAAAAAGTGTGTTTTTTACAAGTTGAAACATTTTGCCAGTTTTTTGATTGTACTGATGAGGAAATTTTAAGATTTGATAATAAAAAAGTCTTATAGGTCTTAGGAGGTTTTAACAATTTACCCGTTCTTGTAGTTAACTGTTTAATATTCCTTTATATCTTGATATTTTAAACAATATAGGTTTTCTCTTAATTATGGCTAGCTTAGAAAACTACAAAATAACACTATCATTTTCTCATAAAATATTCAGTAGTGTGAACAGTGAATATGTTTACCCAGCGCTAGTGCCTTATTTTGTGCTTTTTGGCAAAAGTGTCACAAAAAGTTCAGTTTGAATAAAGCCCAGTTATATAATAATAAGCAAGGACCAAATAAAACAATGCTTGAAACCACCTATACTTTATTGTGGTATAAATGGTATAAGATGAATTGTTTCTCACAAAGTCAATTAGTATATTTATGATGATTTGTACTAATAACCAATAATGTATATTTCAGATAGCAGTATCTACTTTAGATGGTAATATATCTTTCTTCAATGCTACCACTTGCGATCAGACTGCTAGTTTGGAGGGAAGAAATGATTTGGGAGCCGGTAGGGCTGACACAGATCTTGTAACACCTGAAAAACTATTAAAGACCAAGTTAGTTTGGAATAATATATTATATACAGGGTGACTGGTGAATTACTATCGATATTTGAGGACGTGATATTTGACGATCATATATGACAAAATAAAAATTAATATAACATAAATATTAATAAACTTCTAAGTAAAGTTAACCAAAAGTTATGTAATTAATTACGCATCGTATGAACACCCTACAGATTAGGTATATACACACACACACATATGCGCGCGGCGGCGTGGTGTTGTATCAGCACGCCGCCGCTCGCGTTCACACTTGGAACACTTGGAACGTGTACACACTTTATTTATTTATACGGAAATTTGGTAAAAAATTAAGTACCTATTTTTTTACATAATTCGAATGAGAATCATGTACCGAGTATGCTCCTTAAATATTGATAGTAATTCACCAGTCACCCTGTAATTAGACTTCAACGTCTTTGTAAATATTATTCAAGTATAAGTCCATTATTGATAAAATATAATAAACATAATTATATGTGATTTGGATTAACTCTTGTAATAAATATGTAACCTGATTTTAATTTTATATCATATAAATATAGAGAATAAAATAAAAATTATGTTTCCCATTACATATATCTATAATTTGTTATTTTTTATATACGAATTTTAGTTCTATTCGAACCTATTATCTATACATTTGTCAAGACAGCCACTGTAACAACTGAGCTATCACGTCTTATAGTATTTTCTTTTATTTTCAGAGCTTTCACTACAATATGTTACTCAGCGGATGGCACATGTATCTTGGGAGCGGGGAACTCCAAACACATATGTCTGTACAGTATTAAGGAGGGTGTGCTCATAAAGAAGTTTGTTATCACACAGAACAAGTCATTGGATGCTATTAATGTGAGGATAGCTTGGAAATTATTATTGAAATTTTGATTGAAATATTCAAAGAAATTAGATGAATAAAGTAATACAGTCTGATCAATATAAAAGAACACACACACACACATACACATATATATGAGTGTATGTGTGTGTGTGTGATTAAGTTTTACTTATGCATTATGTCAGTTTTTACAATACATCCAGATAATGTTGAATTTGTTATTATTATTGAAAATATATGATTACATATATACTTTTGTTATAAGGCTTTTTTATATACCAGGACTTCATAAATCGTCGGAACATCACCGAGTTTGGTAATATGGCGCTGGTTGAAGAGAGGGAGGAGTTGGAAGGAGGGGAGGTGCGGGTGAGGCTGCCCGGGGTCAGCGGGGGAGATATGGCTGATAGGAGGCTTAAACCTGAGGTGGGCAGATATATGTAGTAAATATATAGTACAATTATATATATATATACACTACCTTCGCCCCGCGGTGTTACCCGCGGATTTCCGGGATTTCCGGTATGTAATGTAGCCTATGTGTTAATCCTGGACGTCAGCTTCCTGTATACAAATTTTTATCAAATTCAGTTCAGCCGTTTGAGCGTGAAGAAGTAACAAACATACACACACACTCACAAACTTTCGCAATTATAATATTAGTAGGATATATATGTATGTATAGTATAGTTATTTTTAAATCCTATCAATTGTAGGTATTACTAATTATTTTGTTACGAAAATCGCATTTTTTAAATGTGTTTTAATGTGTCATTTCTTTATTGTTGTTTTAAACCGTGATATATAATGTAGTATTATAGTAATTTACAAAAGTAAAGACTGCCTTCACCTTTGAAAATTTGAATTATTTTATATTCTACAAAGACTGTCTTTAATAACACACACACACACATATATATCTAGTGTATATTAAATTTAATTCATATGTATTTTCAAGGTCCGTGTGTGGTGTGTTCGTTTCTCTGGTGCTGATGAGAGCTTTGCAGCTGCTTGTACCGAGGGACTGCTGTTATATGGAACTAGAACGGGGAGTGGATTCAGGTATGAAAACATTACTTGTAGAAATATATACTATAGGTTCTTTCTAAATTTGGTTAGGTAGAGAGAGGAGGTGGGACGGTGGAGGTGAGCGTTTAACGCGCGTTAGATAAGGGCCCCTTAAACCTACACCTGGGTCGCAAGTCCCAGTCACTGTTGAAGCCCCTCTCACTACAACGATGGACCCGACACACGCACCGTGAATACATTGTATGCTAAAAGGTTGCGTCTATACATATATGAATTACTTTTAAATGTCTTACAATTTTCTCATTTTATATGTAATACTATTTTTATAATTAGGTCATTTATTTGTTTATGTATTGGCTAAAATATCTAGGGTAAGGATTATAAAATGTTTTAATTAAAATATGTGATGGTATTTAAATAAAACTAATATTTTTCGGATTTACTATGCGACTTTATTTTTGTGAAAAACTACATACTCCCGTGATCACGGTTGCTGTAAAGTAGCCGAAACGTCGGGAGTATGTAGTTTTTTACAGAAATAAGTCGCGTAGTTTATCCGAAAAATATTAGGTTCATTTAAATGTATGTATAAAACTCGTGAAAATCTTAGATCTCATATTATGTAATGTTATTATTTCAGGCCGTATCGTCTAGAGACAGGTTCAACTCCCGCTGCAGTGAAAAATCTATTGACAGAGAAATCATGGGGCTTCGCCCTCATTGGAGCCCTACAACTTAACGACAACACTCTCCTACAGCAATGTATAGAAGCAGTGCCACCTAGTGACAGTATGAAAGAACTTTTATTACTCAAAATAAATTTATTCAATACATTTCACTGTTGACCATAGATTTGTACTATACAAAAATAATTATAATAATATAAGAGATAATACATACTATTATTTATATTAAAGTAATAAACTGATAAATATAATAGATTATGCAGATATATACATGAGTTATTGGGTTAATTATTAAATCTCGAAAATTCTCTGGAATAGCTATTAGTGTGTTTAAATGAAACTAATAGTTTTTCGGATAATGCTCCCGACGTTAAGTACTCGAATAAAATACTCTTAATATAAGCCGCTAAAATATTAGTTTCATTTAAATGAATACTCGCGAAGGTCTCAAGTCGAAAGTTACTTTGATCTCATTATTAAGTTTTTAGTCCCCAATTTTACTTTTTTATTAAATAATAAACTCATTTTTCAGTCGAACTAACAGCAAAGAGTTTAGAAGAAGATTATACAATACGTCTTCTTAACTCGATCGCAAGTCTTCTAGAAGATAGTCCCCATCTAGAACATTTGCTCATTTGGGTCAGAAGTCTTGTTACAGACAAGAAGAAATTCCCGCCCAGTGTGTTACTTGCATTAGAGAAGGCACTCACTGTGAAATATTCACAGATTAATAAAATGTAAGTATTTATTATCTTCTCATTTTAAATGAACTACTAAACTTGTTAAGACAAATTTAATATAATTGTAGTATCTTAGTTTAAGTGTTTATAAATTGTGGAATAATCTTAATTCTAAATATGTATTTTATTTCTTAGTTAATGAAGTGTTAGTAATAATATTCCACATAGATTAATTATCATTAATTCAATTACGTAGAGTCACTGTATTAGAATTCTATCTATATTAAGAATATTGTTCAATAGTGTGAAATATTAAATAAGTAAAATAGTCTAGAAACTTCTTTGTGATTTTAAGTAATAATAAAAGAGTTCTATTTATAAAATATATGTAAAGCCAATTAAAGCAAATCTTGTTGTCCTAAATAAAATGTATATTATAAATTTTGGTGCAACAATTAACTGTATAATGTATAATATAGGTTAGCTTGCATAATACATCACATGTTCCTTATCACTGATAAGGTCAAGTATGTGATAACGGCGGGATGTATCTGTGATAGTGATTGATCTGTGTAGAAATCAGCTGACAGCATATTAAAGAAAAAAATGCTCTTGAAATTTTACCTATAAATTTTGTTAATTTTAATTTGGCTATAGGAATTGTATATTTTGCTCACATAATTGTTATTATTTTTGGGAATTTATGTAATAGTTATTGCTTATTCGTGTATTCATTCCGCAATTTCTTATTTATCTCAAAATTACTCATGCTTTATTCAACAGAACTATCTAGTCACTGTCTGAAACATGATAAAATTATCTTAAATATTAAAAATGTTAAAATTGTTGTCAGAAAAATAAGATCGAGTGAATATTATGCATTTATAAAAATACTAGCTTTCCGCCCGCAGCTTCGCCTGCGTCGAGTTCGGTTATATCGCGTTTCCATGAGAACCTTTAAAAGTCTGGGATAAAAACAATTTTGTCTTTCTCAAGGTCAACTCTATCTCTGTACCAAATTTCATTAAAATCAGTTCGGCTCGGTTTAGGCGTGAAAGTGTAACAGACAGACAGACAGAGTTACTTTCGCATTTATAATATTAGTAGGGACAAGTGTCATATGAATCCTAATAGTAATGTCACGAAAATATGTCATATGACGTATTGATTTTGGTGTTACAACATGTATGAAAAGGGTAAATACATACAATCACGTAATAACTTTTGTATAAGACGAATAAAATAAACAAATATTTTAAATAGAAACGTTGTCATGGCAGAATATTTCACAATTCCAGTGAATGAAGCTATAGAATAATAAAAAAGATGAATCTATATTTTAAGCTTACGTCACAAGTTTGAAAGAAAATTATATAAAAAAGTTTTTTGAATATAGAATACCTATATTAAGATTAGCATTCGATGGAAAAATAGTAGTATTCATAAAGGAAAATAAATAATCAGTATTGTTTTTGTATCGCCACACTTAGTACACAGTTATTTTAGTTTTAGGTTCATATAAATATCTTGGTTGATCTAAAAAGTTTTTTTATATTACAGATGCGAGTTCAACAAATATACAATACGCTGTATAAAGTCAGTTGGCGCTTTGACACTGAAGGATGAGGACGGTTCCAGCGGACGAGGCACCTTCACTGACGATTCAGATTCTGATTAAATATTTTTACCGATTTGAGTTTTTCATTCCTTTTGGCCTTTATATGTAATTAATATTATAAAAAACAAGCTTTCCGCCCTCAGCTTCGCCCGCGTGGAGTTCGGTTATATCGCGTTTCCAAGAGAAACTTCCAAAAGTCTGGGATAAGAACTATCCTATGTTCTTTCTCAAGGTCAACTCTATCTCTGTGCAAAATTTCATTAAAATCAGTTCAGTGGTTTAGGCGTGAAAGCGTAACAGATAGACAGACAGGGTTACTTTCGCATTTACATATAATATTAGTAGGGATATATCTCATTTTGCCGTCGACTTATACTTCCCTTCTCTACCCCTGTTTTGATATTTCTTGTTCTGCCCTGTCTTTAGTGGGGTAGTTCTGAATAACTGGGTAGTTAGCGCCTTTTCCAGGGTGTCCTAGGTACTAATTTTTGTTGAGAAGTACTTCCTGAACGTAAAAAATGTTTACAAAGGGAACCACGAAGATCTTGCAAACGCGTTATCATGTGTGTGTAGATTTTATTTTCCTTATCGCTGGAAAAATTACTTGGAATATCTGAGTATCTTTTGTTTAACCAGCCAATGATGTTAGTAGTTGTAAGATGACCAGTACTAAATTGTAATTTTTTTAATTTGTAAATTTCGTCACAGTGATATAAAAATATTCTTGATTATTTTTTCTCCGGATTTTCTCGACTATGAATTGTACATTAAGATTTCCCTGTATTGGATTTCTAACTAACGAAGTCCTATCGGAATCGGCAGTTTGAGGCAGGGGGGGCATTGACGGTAAGACCAGATATCGTTAATGCCTGGCTGGCAAAGGTACCTTGACTATCATAAGGTAACTAAGTATTTGCGTGTGTTTGAGACTACTTACGTGTCAGGATCGTAAAATATTATGTATATAGATCGAAAGAGAAATGCAAAGGGAGCTTTTGGCGGGATAACTTTAGAGAAATCCTTCGGCTCGTTCAGTGGTTGGAGCTAGGTCTGAAGCCAAAAACTGAGGGGCTATGGTTTCACGCTTTAACGACAAATCTTGAACTACATCTTTATCCGGTACATGTAGGTGAAGCTATGGTTCAGGTGGAGCAGTGCATACATTGGCGTCATCCCTACAGCTGACGGTTATTCAAAGATATTCACACACCTCATTTCCCGAGTGGGAAAGGTAGTTGATGTCCATCACCAGATATTCGATCGTCGGTGACCAAAGGAAGAAATTCACCGTCTCTACAGAAGAGTCGTGAAATCCATGGCGCTTTATGAATGAATGAATGAAGATGAATGAAAAATTCACTTTTAAATATTCACTTAAGTAATACGAATGTTTCACCATACGCAATAGTAAAATCAACATGGTTAAGATATACTTATCAAAACGTAATATTTATTCATGTCTTATTTATCTGTTGTAGACACGAAAATGAAATTATTAATTGAAAATATATTGAAATATTCCAGGCGACAAGAATTTCTAGTCACGACATAATATTTCACAAGCGATGTTAATATAATGGATTTATCTTTTTAACTCAATTTACTGGCTAAATGTGTTATTGACATGCTAATAGTGCATGCTATATTATAATTTAACTTTTAGTGTTGAAGGCCGAAACTATGAGTAATTTTGTTGAATTTTGCGAAATTACAAAGTACCTTATATTAAAATTATAAATTGAAACTCGTGTTAGCTTTCTTTGCACATCATGCCTTACGGCTCCTTGTAAAAAATGGAGTTTACATTAATAAAATTACTTATAACAAGTTATAAAGAAGTTTTAAAAAAAAGACAACAACGTCAAAAATTTAACACCAGATTAATTAAAATGCCCCTAAATCTTGAAGTGTAACAGATAAAGATTAAGGTGAAGCAGTGAACAGAAACTAAGATATAATTGTATTAACTTCTTTCTTAAAACAAATACATAGTAGTATTCGAATTTTTAGAGTCCGTATTTACCAAGGACAAATATTAATATTCCTACTAGACTAGTGAAAGAAAGTACATTTACATTGACCATTTTATCATGCTTCATTCCCATTAAACGAGCTCACAAAGAACAATTACGTTATTTATCTTTTAGTCTAAACATAATACTGTCAAAGTTAATTACGTCACAATGGAGGAAATGTTTTCCCAGAGTTCACGAAGGTTGCAGGAGCAAAAACTCCATTGTTAAAGTAATTTTTTAATTCTGCTGACGCGAATCAAGAGTTATCTGAATATTGTTAATGAAGTGACATTGATAGATGGCTTCGTAATGTTGATTTGTTATCATATCTTAGATATTATGTTGGTCGTGTGTGGATTATATCAAATATTAGTGAAATATTATATTATTATAATATAATGTGTTATTATTATGCATTTATTAAATATATATTTTGTGTTAAATTGATTTTTATTTGTTTATATAAGGAATTTTCCACTTGAAATATGTTACATTTCCTTTTCATTTCACATAATTTATTCAAATGGATTGAGAATTTTTCAAATATAACAGATGTTTATATTTGAGGAATGAAACTTTCAGCATCTTTTATCGATATAACGGTAATAAGAATTTTGGAATTAGATTTAAATATATTACCAAGAGACCCTTTAAAATACAAAAAAAAGAAAAAGTAACATTCAACGCCCTTTATTAATATTAACAGTGTTGCTCGGCCTTAAAATAAAACTAACGCTATTGTGCGACTTCGGCCACGGTTTTAAGCCAGTTCTTGTTACCATGAACGCGCTTATAACACACAGAAGTATGGCGATGGTCAAGATTACCCAACGGGCAACTTCTACGTATGTGAGAAGAGTGTTAGCCTGAACTAACTCTTGTTGAATATCCTTTGGTAATTCTGCACCCTGAAAAATAAATAAATTAAAAGATACGCTAAGGTTAAAAAAGCATTGCTTCTTTCTGTCTGTTTTTGTCTTTTTTCTTTCAGGGATTTTGTGAATATAGTTATAATTACTTACAAGTTATAGGTATCTAATATTAAAGTGAAAAAGTTTGAATATGATAATTACCTCTTCGATCCAAAGCAAAGGAAAGAGTCCTGTAGGTACGCGTTCTAGTTGGGGAATTTTCTTTATATTTCGTAGTTCTATATTGAATTGTAACCGTTGCAAACCTTTTAGAACTGTTCCAGTTATCTAAAAAGAAATGCATCAGAATAAAACATTGGTACAACCACCTACATACTTGCAAAACTTTTACAGGGACACAAAAAAAAATAATTAAATGATTTTGATATTGTAACTGGATGGCACTTGACTTTTTTATAGCTAATATGAAGATGAGGCTTGTCAAAATACAATCCCACTAACAAGCCTTTACACTCTTATTTTGAAGACACGTAAATTGTAAGTGGCAAACTGATCAATCTCTAAATGGTCGGATGGGGTAGGAAAAGGTGAATCGCCTCTAGCGTTGGCTACTAAATTTTTTCGACGAAATATAGATCCTCCGTGGTTATCCGATGGTGATAAGGATGGATGGAGGAATCAAATGTTCATTTACAGCGCACATTCTCTAATAAGTGTTTGTTATTGATTGATTAAATTAGTAGTGAGAGAAAGTGCAGAGACAGCTCAGTTATACAGATAAGTTTTTCCTTTTTTCAACCTACCACTTCTAACTTGAGTCAATATGAAGGATGAAAAATTCTAACATAAAAATAGAACAAGATTCGCTGTGCTAGATTCGGCTCAACCTTGAAACTGAAATGCTCGAACCCTTTCAGTCGCTATTGGGAACATAGTTGGTGGTATAACTTTTTGTGGGTAGCTGACACAATAATTGCGAGAAGCCAGTGAAAAACAAAAAACAATGGTGAAATTGTGCTATTAAGGTTGGCTCAAATTTCAAGGCAACTGGTTACATTCATCCTCCATACGGCTTCATTAGACAACATAAAAGAACACGCCCAATGCGTTTACGCAATGATTTTATGTATGGATGATTATTCATTATTCCAGGGACCAAATTCACTGTCTCATTCTGGGACTATAGGTTATTTGTGGAGGATCATATGTGACTGAATTAATTAAATATCCGATGAAGCCCATTTTTATACGTATTTTTACTCCGCGTACAAATCATTTATCTATTTTATATATAAAATAATACATATGTCTTAAATACTTTGAAAGATGATGAAAATTTTGTTGCATATCAATATTCAAAAACATTACAGATTCAAGATAAGCGAAGGTTGTGTGTTTCTCTCTCTCCGGCTTCACGCCGCCCTTGAAGTATTCCAACAGTTCTTCTGAAGCGAGATAGAAGTGAGGTAGTGATAAAATTGCTGGCACGTTCTTGCATGGATTTAGGTTTAAAAGACCCATGAGCAGACAACCGTCGTGGTTGTTGCTCCAGTTGCTGAAAATTAAATATTGCAATTCTATTAAAATTGATTTTCCCTTTAAGTATGGAACACATTATTTTTAACACTTATATTTTAAATGTTTTAATTTTCCTGTTACTTTTTTAATTTAAATTTATTTACTATATTATGCAATAAATTTTAAAGCATTTAATAGCTAAGGTATCATAGTAAAAATATAATGAGGCATGGTATGAATAAAATGAGGTAGTGCTTGCAGGCTATTCGCAGTAGTCTCTGAATGTCGACCCAGTTTAAAGACAATGTATCTTCAAAATTGTTGCCAAATCCTGATTTTGTGTACAATTTGACTATCTTCACGAGTAATTAATTTCATTTGTTTACTGCTAACCTAATATTTATTATAATTAAGTTAAGAGAACTCCAGTAAAATGTGTAAACAAGAACCTTATTAATCTGATTGTTGGTTATTTAATTTTCATCTAACACTGTCATAACTTTTGACAACAGTTTCAGTTGGTTATGATAGACATTTAAATGGCTTTCTTTAAAATTATTATATCATGGATATAATAATTGGTCGAGTAAAAGGTTTTTATTTTTGTAATGATAAACATTGTTTTATTTGTATCTAATTGTCGTTATAATGAATCAAAATATCATGCTTTCATCGCATTATCCCGGACTGTAAACTCAGATTTCAACACTTTTTCATACATTTAAATAATACCAAAAATACATATTATACACGTCAAAGCTATTAAATAGAATAAAAAATATATATTCTCTACAAAATTATTATTCTAAAGTGTCCAAAAACTCATATATTTTACAAACGTTATCATATTTTACGTTTAGTTAACTATATCTCATACTGCATCGAGTTAACAAATTTGAAACCCGATCAACTGCGAAGTTAGTATAACCTGCAGCACAATTACAAACTTTCAATATCAGTTGTGCCAAATACGTATATTTGTTATACATCGATGTGTAAATGGAACTAAGTTACTCGGATATTACGATTTTTCTATTATTTTGTTTCTACATGTTCCTGACACATAGTAACAAAACAGCAAGCAAATTTATTATAAAGTATTAATTTAAGTGAAACTAACATTTTTCGGATTACTAAGTACATAGGTACGTGTTTTTTATTATTTTAAAAACTACATACTCCCGACGTTTCGGTTACTTTTCAGCAACCGTGATCTCAGGCAGACGAGATGTGATGTTCAAGCAGGCAAAATTATTTAGAAATACAATGATAAAAAAGCGTAGTATATGAAAATTTAGTTAAAATTTAACGTGTACATCCAAAAATTAATGATTATTAAATTTATATGAAATCAGTGTATCAGATTTACTTACATCTTACAAAAACATTTGTTGCCAGGATTCATAGTTTTCGAGGCGAGCGCAGTTTCGTCTATTTCATAATAGTAGGCGCTCATGTTGAATATTGTTCGCTTGTCCACCAAACTAGCGTAAAGTGACCTATAGATGTAGAATAGAATTACTGTAATAACAGTATACTTTACTTTTAAAAAGTAATGAATGCATAGTAATCTATGTAACTTATATAAAGCAAGAATATCGTCATTTCTGTGTTTAGACATTAATAAAAACGAATAATAAAAACAGCATTTCCTTTTTCTGTGAATTAATATTATAAGACACTTCAAACAAATATCTTACCCTAAAATTTTCATTATTTTACGTAACATTGAACTGGAATGTCAGGAAAAGCTTGGATATTGTTTTACAAAGCGAATTACATCAAATAATTTCGCCAAAATTGAAACAGAAATCTGTTTTGTTACAAAGAAATCTACTTTATTGTATTGTGGGAATATTGTAAATGATTTTTAAGAGAAATATTACCTGCATATTTCCGGTTCGAATGTGTATATCCTTTTTGGTACGCCATTTTGGAATGGGGGGAATATTGAGCTGTCTGAACCATTAAGTTTGCCGCAGTACGGATCTCCCCATTGTTTCATAACGGTCTTTCCATCGTAAGCCACGATGTGACCCAGTTCATTTATGTTTTCTGTACCACGAACCATATCGTATGGTCCAGATTCCGTCCTGTTCAACTTAAATTATTAAAAGTATATATTAGTGCATTATTTCTTAGTACATGTATTTCTAATATATTTATTATTATAACTCACATGTCCGAACATAGAGAAGTAGAAACCATTTCCATCTTCAGAGGGTCGCATCGCTGGTGGTTTGTCAAGTTTGATTTTTCCGCAGACGAGACCTAATACACACTTCATAATATATCCCAAACAATTTTTACATACAGACATATTACTGTATACCAAAGATTAATAATTAACTACTACATATAAATTATATCACGAGAAATTGGTTATAATACTTAATTTTCTGAAATTCAATTAAAGTTCGGGAAAATCTGATTCTCCGATAAGGAAAATTGCAAGCCTCACATCAATTTTATATTGATACAGAATAAGTAAGTGGATGTACTTAATTTGGCAACAGAGTTTATAGGTCAGACATAATGGGCTTACTAAAGTTTGGCTTGTGAACCATCTCGTCTTCAATCTCGGCTTGGCTCTAGTAATGAATTTATATTAGTAATTTTTTGTTCAATAATCATAGTTACAACAATATATATTCATTATAAATTTTAAATTTGAATCGTCTCCGCTTTAAAATAAAAAATAGATATGCTTTTTATATGTTTTAAAAACTATTAAATTAATTAAAAGTCACTAAGTAAATAAAGTAATGAACATAAAAAATTACGTACATATTTTTAAATTATTATTTTTCTAAAGAAAAGTTTGATGTTCGAATTAATTTTATAAAGACAGGAGAATAACCAGGATTTGAAAGATTAAATTTTTAGAACGACTTATTGTTCACTTTCAATGGGATGAAACTTTTGAGTGTTCAATTCTGTGGAAACCTTTGTATTACTGCATCAGCAAAATGATATTTCTTCGTATTTCATTTATAAGTCCGCGATGTGTACGTATAGCCAATGGCTAGTGAATGGTATTAAAAATTCTAGCTAAGGACAGATTTTATAGTGTTTCGTCAGTACGCCAACTCTACGTTTCCATTGTCACACGACGTACAAAGCGTTGTTCGTTTAAATTTTATGTTAATACTTATGCACAAAGATTAGTAGTGTCACCAAAAGTAAATAAATGTGGGAAGTTATTTAAGCTAGGTCAGCTATACGAAATGATATCAATTTATAGATATACAAGTTGACTTACAAAACTTCAGAAAGCCCTCATAATATTCTCTATAATGGTTATATTAAATGTTTTATTTACATAAGGTAGAGTATTGTTCAATTTATTCACTGTCGGAAATTTATCAATCATAAACGATTCCTAGGAAATGTATGAACTAATGAAGGAAGTTAATGAATATTGAGAAATGTGTACATTATTGTAATATGTATAATTCATATATAATTTTATTGATACTTAATAAGAAAATATGATTTATGAGACAATAAACAAGAAAATTAATTCTGTTGGGTTTTCTTTTAATAAAGATTGCTTATAATGACGGTGTTATTTACGATGTATTAAAATATGGTTAAAAATTTATTAAAACCCTCGGTGCTTAGTAGTAGCATTTTAATTTTATAAATCGTTTCCTATATTTGTATAAAAATTTGTTATTGATGGCAAACTATAAAACTGTAGGTATTTAGTTTGACGATAACTGCTGATACTCATAGTATTAAACTTCATATGGTGAGAGAACCCAGGGGTTTCAATATACTAAAACAATTAAAGATTGTAAGTCTGCTTTCCCAAAATATAACTTCAGAATCTTATCTCAAATGAAGTATTGTTCTTCTAGCAAATAAATGATACAAGTAAAGTCGGCTGACAACTGTAATTTAAATTCAATACAAAAATAACAAGAATGATTCAATTAATATTATATAGTTAAACCATGTTTGAAACGCTATATTAAAGTTTAATATTATTACGAACAAAACCCAAGAGACGAAACCTCTTAAAATTCATTGTATTCACCGTGCGGTAGCCGGGTAGCCATCGCGTTGCAGGGAGAGGAGCTTCAACAGTGCCTGGGACTTGCGACCCAGGTGTAGGTTTTGGGCCCTATCTAACGTGCGTTAACCGCTCATCTCCACTGTCCAAGCTCCTCTCCCTACCTAACCAAATTTGAAAAGAACCTACTAGGGCTGCAGTCGAAGTACGTTCCAAGAATGAATTTATATAAGTTCTGAACAGGCCCAAGTCTTTTAGCAGAATTTCTTTCAAGAAACAAATTATATTACGAAAAATTGAAGGCATAAAAAATAATTAATATAATCTAGACTATTAAATTTGGACTAAAATAGACGATTAATTATATTTTAAAATTAGATTATAACGGTTTCTGAATCTATTTTCACTCTCTTTCATTACTTCCCCATCGTTATAATCAACAATTATAAGGCTTCTGATTGGTTTTTATTGTTAGTGTTATATCTCATATTCAAAATATTAATTGATTTCCTTTAATTTCGTTTTACTTATTTTAAGATTCTCTTAAAAAAGTCAATTCCTTTATAATTGTATATAATTTACTTCGGATATTTTCAAGTAACTTTTTTAGTTGTCAAATATTTGCCTTTATTTCTTTTCATACAAACGTGTCTAAAATTAATCTACAAATAAAATACTAACGTCAAACTATTAATTGATGCATTGGTTGTGATACACTTCAAAGACTTGGGGTGTACCAATCGTTACGTACAACTATAAATATATTTTTATTGCCTTTGTATAGCACTTTTCATTGCTATAAATTTTATGGCTTATCATATCAAGTTTGTACTTAATTGCATCATTAATTCCAGCTAAATAAATGTCTTTAAACCAACTACTATTTGGTAATGAAATACACTGAAAATACTATCAAATTGACGAAGTTAATTCCTACTATATACAAATCAATATTATACCAACATTATATCTTACATATATAATTGTAGTTAGTGACTTTTATACTTACTTAAAGCTGCGTTATCGCCGACGCAATTAAGATATATGCCGTCAAATAAAAGATCCCTCACTCTGACTCGTAAGAATGGATCCGTTAAGTTTGGGAAGAAACTGCCTAGGGCTGAGTTCACCAGGCCGAGGGCTGAAGGCATCATGTCGTTAACTGTTAATATTGTGGCCTGATAAAGAAATGTTACATTTAACTTCATTGTTCATGACAAGAGTCTTTATCTCTTTACAATATTTGAACCTCTCCCAAAATATTTATATTAGTTTAAATCTTTTAAAGTTTTTCCAGTTAACATTTGAAACAATTTATGTAATCTATACATATAAAAGAAAGTTGTGGTAGTTATACAATAGTGTGTAAATATATAATTGGAGAACAGTTGTACGGATTTGAATGGATATTTGTGGGGAGGTAGGATGGAATCAGGAGATAGACATAGGATACTTTTAAATTCGTTCGTCCTAAAAAAATGTTATAAAATGCAAAATCTGTTTATTTACTGCCTCTAAATCGAATCAGTTCGTCTTGTCAGCTATACATTTCTAATTATGAAACTAACGCGGACAAAGACGCGAGCAAAGCTACGAGTAGTTGAAAATAAATAAAAGTATATGAGTAAACAAAAAATATTAAATGTTTATGTATAATTCTAAAAAGTGCTTCATCAACTTTCAATGCATATATATCAAGTAAACACTAAGTCGGTTCGAATGTGAAATTAAATGTGGTATGCAAATTAACTCAATGATATAAAAAAAAATCCAATATGAAATTTTTCCTTTAAATAATTAATAAATATTATCTTTTTGAGTATTCATATTTATAGATAGTACATGACTTTGTTTGATATATTAATAAAGTTTTATTATGTGTTAGAACACGTACGCAAGTGAAAACGTAGTCCTTGCAAAATTTTGTGTTATTTAAAAAAATTATAAATACATATATATGTAGCTTTGAGAGTTTTTAAACAAATCAAGTAGCTTCATCAAATGTCATGTAAATGTATAAAATGGGAAAATTATACACTAATTAATTATAATAAACATTATTGATTGTATTATCCAAAGTATTTTATTTATTTATTTTATAATTATAAGTCAGTGGTGGCCTAGTTGTTAAAGGCCCGCATTTCATTCACGAGGTCGCGGGTTCGAACCTGGCGTTTGCAAGTACCTATGTGATTAATCGGAGTCATATGTAATTTCAAAGAGTATTTAGACACCGTTGATTAATGCATTCCCAAAGAGGGTTGATGTCAGGCAGGCGGCCGGTCATAATAAAGAATTAGCCAAAACTATTCACAACCTATAAGGCAGACTCTGTCTATATCGTGGAAAATGCCGGGTAGGAGAAGATTTATTTTATAAGCTTATAAAAACTATTACTTAATGAGCTCTAAGACTTTCACGAGTATTCATTTAATTAATAGTAATATTCTCGGATATACGCGTTTTTTATTATTTTAAACTACATACTCCAGACGTTTTCTTTTCAGCAACCGTTATCACGGGTAGACGAGATAAAAATGTCCGTTTATTGGTCTTATTATTTATGATCAACCTCCAATGATTTCTTACTTTACATGAGTACCGCTCTGGATTCCTTCAGAATACGCTCACTGTGTCTCGAAGTAGAACTATAGATAATTAATTTTTTAATGATTTATTGCTAGTTCAAAAAGTATTGCAAGCCATATTGTATACAAACGATTTAGGTTAAACAAAAAAGTAGGCGTTTTTTTAAATAAAGTTTATTTGAAGTCTATCAAAAATGGGAATTTAAAGGAAATATAAATTTACTATTATAATTATTAATTATCTATTCTGAGTAATAGATATAACTAGACTATAAGTTGAATTGTAAGCTTAAAAATAATATAATTAAGAGATTCGTAAATTGATTTTACTAAAATTTCATACTTTAGGAATTAAAAATATGTAACGATAAAAGCTACAGTATTTAAAGTAATTTCTATTCTTAATTATAAATTGCAATAAATATTTGGAAATTCATAGAAAATTAAGATAAATGTAAGTATGAATAAATACGACTGTAAAATAATTGAATGTTTATAATAAAATTCCAGGATTGTGGCGGCTTTAAATATAACCTTAATAATACTTGAAAAGGTGAAATAGCATTTTAAATTAATATACATATGTTAATATTATTGATTGATTATAATTATAATAATATAAGTTTATATAGATGTGGTTCGCTATGAATTTAAAAATTTTGCAATGTGTAAAAAAATATATGTAGTTTTATACTTGCAGCACTATCTATGATCGTAAAAATTATCCAACAGAATTTAGTCTTTCTGATGTCACATGCGTACCCTTGTTAGGCTCATAAGATGTGTTATTATATTTTACATATAAAATAAGGCGATATAATTGATTCAACTTTGAATAATTCTTTATAAAGAATTTCATTATTGGTCATAAACTTATAAAATCTAATGTAACCGTTTTTTAAACGTCTTTAAACCTTTCATGATTATTTTAGCTATGAGGTTTCTTTAGAGAATTGACAAACTAAGTTGCTGTCATCATGAATCAGTAATATATCAGATTATAATATAATTATAACGTTTAGTAATTAATAAAAAAATAAATAGCAGATTAAAAATAATTTAAAATAACGTCAAAAGCTGATTTATACAGCAATTGTGTAATAAAAAAAGAATAATGAATGTCATTACGTTAAGACAATGGTCGTAATTGTAACTTGTAATATTTCCATTCGAAATTACAATAGTATTACATTATCAACGTACATAGATAGATAGATGGGTACATAGATCTATAAAAATGTATGCACATCGCATGTCTCAAGTTATTTAACGTTATACAAGTGCATATTAAAAAACTGTCTTAGACCTTCAATAAACACATTAACACAGATTATAGCTATATTATTTAGCTGTGAGATGATTTTCTATCTATTAATAGATTTTATTTATCGCGTTTGCAAATTACAAATATTTTTTCAATTAAATGAAAAAATAAATCTGTTTAATGTCTGTACGTGGTTTATCCGACATCGTCCGAACTATTTTTCTCATCACATTGAATTCCACAATAATGACTGTCGGGTTTTGTATTTTTACGAGAGTATTTCTATTCAAGAATGTATTGAAGCATAAAACTTACGAAGTTATACTCACTAGCTAATTCTAATAACTTTTATTTTCATTCATGTGAAATAAATTCATAATTGTAACATAACATATTGAGAAACGCCAATTTTCTATTAATAAATCTTTGAGTGAGGTTTCAATATACCATGTTGTGTACCGGCTTTATTCGTCGTAATTAAAGGCTAGTTTCACGCTTGACAGCACCACGCCATGTTGAAAATTATTTGTATGTCAAAGTAAATTCCCTCCACAATCGCATGTATCAATTGTTAAATGAACAATTATAAACGGACGCAAAAACAAATAAGAAATATTAACATTACATTCAGAAGCTTATAGTTTAGTTTGAGAAAAAAATCTACTTCTCAAAGTTCCCTAGTCCAGCTGTTTTAGTGAACATATGTTGCGCAACTTACTTTCAGAGTCTCCTAATGACAGTCCAATCAATTTTGCTCCAAAGAATTTTTTATTCGTTACAGAAATAAAAAATATTCTTTTTGAAATATAAGAAAGGTTTGCTGTTCTAAAAGATGATAAATAACGGATTTTTCACTGTTTGTGATTTATTTTTATTCATTTCACTGTCGACAATATGTGTGAAGGGTCATACGAAATTGGTTTTGTATGTATGATATACGGAATTGTAAATGGCTAAAATAATATTAATTTTAAGTATCATAATAGCCATTTTATAACATTAAATTAGGTACACATCTCACATCTTTTCTGTCCGTGATCACGGTTACTGTAAAGTAATCGAAACATTGGGAGTATGTAGTTTTAAAATAATAAAATATGCCTAGTTTAATCCGAATAATATTAATTTTATTTAAATTATTAGTCGCGAAAGTCTTAGATCTCATTAGTTAATAATATTTTTATATAAAATATTCCAACTCACCATATAGGAGTAGTTAATGACTGTGATCTCGTCATCTTGAGACAGTTCTCCGGACGCTTCTTCATCAAATTCAAAGGTCTTCTTCAGCATGTATCTGATTGTGTCATTATCACCGTAACCCAGAATTCTTTTTCTACGATACTCCCTAAATAAAATTAAAATTAAGCATTACATCAACAGTCCAGACGAAATAAAGTATGATTTATTACAAAGGGGAAAGTGCAAAAAAATATACAAAGATACACTTGATTGACAATGTAATTATCTAAAAGAAAAAACTTCTCGACCTTTCAGAAAATTTGTACATTAAAATATAATGTTATTTAGCTCCAACAAAATATTATTTATATACATATTTAGAGACGCAACTTAACATGTTTCTACAAGTCATATATTTTTTGTTACTTTCGTATAATGAATAGAATTCACACATTGTTTTTATATTAAAAAAAAAAAACAAATTGGTAATGCCTATTTGTGTTATGTTATGTACCTTGCTACAAGCTTACATCATCAAATTCCATTCATAAACCGACGTTGATCTTATTACGTCAAAAGATTGATGTATTGGTAACTGCAAAATTTTGGTAATGATTCAGAACTTACTTGTAAACGTATGGTCCTATTTCTTTTAATATCGGTTTCTCTCCATTGTTGATATCCTCTGTGTTTGTGACGGTAAATAAATAAACTTTAAAAGATAACGGCATCGGCAGAACGCGCCATTTTTCAAACATTGCCGACGAGTTGTCCAGTTGTAAATTCTGTGAAATTTTGGACGCTACATTAAAACGACTGGAGCAAAATGATGTCTGAATTATGTATTCAAAAGGAAGCTTGTTTATGTAGGGTTACGCTAGGAAGATTCGCTTTGAGAATATTGTCGAGTTATAATTTAAATAGTTGACAGTTGTTGTACACTGTTATATAAATATTTATAACGTTTATACTTTTCATGATCTAGTAAATACCCATAGTTATGAGTAACGTCTTTACACAATTCAGTTACCTATATATGGAACTTTAAAGACTTTTATTTGTGATCGAGAAAAATTTGTTAATAAATATTAAGTCGAAATATATTTCATATGAAAATATCCTATAATAGATTAATATTCGAAAGCATATAAGACGATGTAAGTTAAGTAAATACAAGTGTTTCAAACCATGTTTGTTTTATTTAAACGATAGTGACTGTAACTAATAATAACAGCATTTTACTTGTGCGATTATTTTAATAGCTTAAAATATTTTTAGGATTCTCTGAAATAGTTTTTTTAAAGAATTCCTGACACACTTTAAGTTAAACTTTAAAGCATAGATATTCCATTGAAATTGTCTATATTAATATTCTATTTTATATACTCTGTGGTAAATTATTAATAAATCGTTTTAAATAGCCTCGTAATGGGTCCACGGCTAGTTAGAGGAAAATGGCTGGCCTTAATTTATTATTTTAATGACATCTACTCGTAGTTTTTGTTTTATTTATTTTTTTATAATCATTACTATTATGTTTATAATTCAGATAAACTGATATAGAAATTTAAAAGAGCTATTTTTATCTGATAAATTAATTAACAAGTACAGCATTCTGCGTTCTTTGAAATTTGGATCGTAAAATGAAATGAATTAAATTCTCCTCGTATAATATTAAAACGCAATCAACATATTCGTACAAATGTTTCGATAACATTCTTTATTTATAGTTTCGTAAGTTTTATAAAGAATTTGTCATCAACATTTTAATTGTTATTTAAAAGAAAAAGTGTTTGAAAGATATTTATTATCTGTAGATGATTAAATTTAAAAATTATAATTTCTTAAATCATGTAAGTAGAATGTATTTACATAAATCCAATCTGTGCCAAATACATTATTCATCCATGTAAATTTTGTTTTCATAATTATTTCGTTTCCATTATATATATGTTTACAAGATTGATCTAATAATTGTATAAGTTATAATATTTATAATGATATAATAGTTTTGTGTCTCTGCTCATACAATATGTTGCGGAAACAGAATAAATTATATCTCATCCTGTCTATAGAAATAAATTTAATTATGGTTCCGGTAAATAATATAATATAATTTTTATTGAGGCCCATTATTATTTGATCTAATGATATTTTATTCGTATGAAATCATAGTTGACTTAGTACGCTCATATAAAACGTAAAAAGTTATCACGTTTTATTCCGACAAATATTTTTGAAATTATAATGCAAAACTAAAACTATATTATTTTTTGAATAATAATGGAAAAAAGTGAAATAAAAAACGTATTTTTTTTTGACATTTCATTAACAAAATTTTTTACGTATAAAAACCTTTGCAAATGTAAAAGACGCACCCAATGAATAACTATGATTATTCTGTTAAATCATCTCTATTTTTTACTTATTAATCTTATGTATTGATTGTATATTGTTGTTACCTTTTTTATTTGTTGTCTAACGATCTTCGGGAAACCCCAGCTTGCCATCACAATAGCAACAATCAGCACACATATTGACGTTGTGAAGAAGACTTTCGTATTATTTCCATACATTTTGATCACTTAACGAAATTATTAGTTCATATCATACTTCGTTACAATAACTTTAATAATTTACGTATTCATATACTCTTTGGTTTAAACAAAGGGAGAGATTACTTCTAAATAAGCGTGCGTATGCGCATCGCGCGAGATGCAAGTAAAAATATATCAAGTTTATACACGTGGTCTTAAAAGCCGGTTGAACTGCCGGTGGCTTTGTGAGCAATGTCTCATTGAATGCCGCGCAAACCTCACCGTTGGATCGAAGGTCAATAAAACATCATATGTTTACATCCGCATGAAAAACACATGAACAATTAGAATTTAAAATTTCAAAAACAATACCTATGCAAATTTTCGTGCAAAAAAAATAATGTCATGAATTATGGGAAACAATCTTAATTGTATTTGACTTTTAAGTGTTTAATTTGTATGTTGATTTATTTTATACTGAGATCTATGATATAGATTTTATTTAAGATAATATTATTCGTGCTAATTCTGTCATAGAGATAAGCTTTACAAAGATATGAGAGTATTAATTTGCAACGTAAATAGAGTGGAACAAACGCGCAAGGTTCTAACGACTGATAATGCTCTCAATAATCTTAGGTATGACAACATTTAGGTATGACTAGGACAAAAAGGTGCTGTATTTGTTGTAAATATTTATAACTGTAACATAGTACTAAACTATAGTTAAAGATGTGTCAGCAATAAAATTCCCTTTTGTTTTTGGATAGTTCCAATAAAAACAAATTTGGATTATGATGCAATGCTAATTTCATTGTTTTTCAACAAATTCGTCTCGTAATATTTTTTGTTACTATTAAGTACATATTCATAATAGGAAATTGTGTGTGACGAGCTTTATTTGTGATATGCATTGAATTAATTATAATAAATCTAGTACAGAGCATTATAACATGATGGCAATAATTCTATATTCTTCTGATGTAACAAGGTCTCGTTTTACGTTTTTTGTTATTGTGACGTCATACTGTTTATTAATATATAAATCGATTCTGGGAATTTATATACAAACAAGAACTAAGGATATTAAATATCAAATACTTTTTTAAAACCAATTCGCAGTGTAGCCTTGGTTTATTAACCTAAACTTCAAAGCTATTACTTTAAAATCTTTTACAGAGACTTTTTAATTACTTCCACGTTGAAACGACGGAACGAAGGAAAAAATTCATAATCTCCCACTCTGTTAAACAATCGCACTATCAAACGATATACATTTCAATTGAATTCAACACTCACAATAGTAGACCGTTATCAACTAACGCGTGGAATAACATGACCGAATGAAACTACTTATATGGTCTAAACGACATTAAATTGAACTTTAATTACTAAAATGTTCACATCACAATCCTAATAAGTAACTCATGTCAGTCGGTTAAGCCTGTGTGTTTGTTTATATAATAATAATAAATATATATGACAGAAAAATTTTTAATAGACCCCACTTAGATATATATAGATATTTGGAGAAATATTTTTAAGAGTTACAGCTCAATTTTTTTTACAAATTGATATAATTGAAAGTATCTAGAAGCGAAAGATCCATCTTCATTATGTGACAAATTTTTATAGATAACCTATGGTACTTCCACAATTTCTCTTATTCTCTTAAAGGTCGCCGTGGCACAAAAGTTGCATGAAATAGCCATGTCTGATTAGAACTTCTGTCACGGAATATAAATGTAACATGTTACTACTACCATCGCTATGGGTGTAGGGCATGAAACTGTAAAAAAAATTGTGACTTCTGGATTTCATTTTGGGTACGTAACACATTATTTCGACCTTTCTTCAAAAGTTTCAACACTCCTGTTGCTTATACGCTCTGTCGTTAAAAGTTGTTATTTGTAAAACTGGTCTTTGTAATATTTTTTTAAACTATACACAAGTATGAAAACCTTTCTTATACTTTTACTTTCTTTACTTCTTTGTTTAGTTCTCTTTTCAGATGCTGTGTTATTTAATTAAAACTGATTTCTAGAATGATAGATATATTATTAATAAATGATAGTATTCTATCAATCTTGTTACATAGTGTATATAGTAGTCATACCACAAGAAAAAGCAGAAAAAACTCTGAATGACGCTTTTAAAAACCTTGGAGTATTATACTAAGTTTCTACAAACTACTATAATGACAAATAATCAATATCTTTTTATTGGTAATTCAAATGAATTACCAATATATAGATATACATATGTCTGGCTATATAAATGATTAAGGAACTTTAAAGCAAAGTGAAGGATAAGTATATAGAAGAAAGAGTGATGGAATTTCTTAGTTGCGTATTTTATTTTAAAAAAAGTGGGTGTGATTTTTGTTTGATCATTTTTGGCACTACTCAGTCGAACGGTACTTTCATGTTATGGTAAAACTGGTTTCCAAAATCAAAGCGGTATAATATTCAATACATAGCATACGCACAACCTACTCGGAGACTGGTAACGCGAAAAAAATATTATATAAAAGCGTACAGAATTTTTTAGGACACGTAAGTGACGACAGATTTCTTATTAGCAAATGCGTAAGTTGACTCTGTTTATACCACTGGTTTGATTAAAAAAATTACAGCAAAAAAGTTTTGTTGGGAGAATTACTCTGCAATTTTTTGAAAGTTGATAATTAAACATTGAAATTCTGATTACATATTCATTTTAGGCATTGAAAACGTGTCAATAAATTTACATGTTACGTCAAATACAAATTATCCGGGAGATATTTTTTTCTTGACAAGTATGGCTTCAAAGTTATAAATTATATAATATACATCTTTTACATTGAAGACTTTCTAAGTGAAATAAGCCGGAATATTAATAATAAGAAGTGAGTATTCTGATAGGATTTTTTTGAGTTCGATCGAAATCGAAAATATTTTGAAAATGTAATTTTAACCTATTTGTCTCTGTTTTCAAAGTATTATTTCATTTTTTCAAAATTCAAAGAAAAAAAGTCTTAACATTAGTTGTCATGTGCTTTGGTTATTATTCGCTAAGTTCTTATTTTTTAGTAATCAAGTCGTACTTAACACGAAAATCCTTTCTATTCTTGTTCTAAGGACAAAGTCTACTAACATAAAAATGCTATTAAACATCTCTAGGCTTTAAATCGTGTTATCCGTTTATAGTCATATTTTGCCTACTTCTCAGAAATTGTATTCACCAAGCAAAATCTTTGACTTTTTATCTTTAAAAAGTTTTGATTGCTTGATTTGTCTACCGTTGTGCCAACTTGCCGTGCAAAAATATAAACCGTTCTCGGTTTGGGAAGAGTTTTTATATTAACGAAAAGATAATAAATAATGATGAAAATGATTTTGGTTTTGGACCGTAGACCTAATTAGAAAAAGTTAATATAAACATGTAGAGGTAAATTTATAATAAATGAATATCAGAGTTACAAATAAATACTTAAGGTTAACCGCCACTTAAGATCGGAAATAATTATTGTGTAAATTATTAAATAAATGTTTGTATTCTACACCAGTTTTCTGAAATTGATTTTTACTAAGGGTAATGGAGTACAGCAAGTTTTACAATGATGAAATCGAGTACCGAAAATGTTGAGTCTCCTGTTCCGAGAATATTTAAGATATATGTATTTTCTTACAATATATATGATGGGTTGTTTTTCTTTCGTAGTTATAATCCATACAAAAACAATTGGACTCAATTATAGCTCATCCTTCAGTAATAGTAAAAAATAGTAATATAATGTGTTGTTATGTGTATTGTAACTACAACATGATCACGCAAAAAGTACTAAACCGGATTCTATTTAAATAACCACAGGGCTGAAATAACACGAAAGATACTAAGCTCTTGTTATGTTTTATTTAATAAATATCATTCCTACTATTAAATTACAATACAAAATTTAATTCAAGCGAAAGAAGTTTCTAGATAAATCTAGTAAAGTTTAAGTATAAATTTAAGTTCTTCATCAAATTATAGGAGAGAATATAATAAACGTTTTGTATTGCAAAAGAAATTCAAAGTATTATAAATAAATTATATGAAGCGAACTTGTTTACATGTCATTCTAAATATCACTTATACAAGACTGAGTAATTTTAAATAAAATATATTAAATATTGATACATAGTCATGTTTATTGTCACGAAGCAAGTAATTTTCTCATATAAGGTATTTCTCGATAGCTCCACTAACATGATTTTCGTAATCGTATTTAATGAAAGGTAAATTGTTAATATCAGATATTTACAAGCTTGGAGTATTGTTTGCCAATATTATTTGTTTAGTATATTAATAGATGAGCATGTTATTGAATTATTTCATAATAAATCCTTTTTATTTTAATAACTTAATTTATAATATCTAATTTATTCTTCATATGTTTTAAGTCTAAATGATTTCAGAATAAAAAGATGTTCGTTTTGTAATTATTTGTTATTTTTAAAAAACATTTATTAAGTGTAATTAATAATTAATTATTCAAAAACTTTACGACCTTAACTCAGTTAAAAATTTCTTAACGAAGACTTCCACGTCTTTAAAAGTATTAAATCATGCATTATTTTATATAAATTATATATAGATATTTTATTTATTTATGTAAAACGGCACTATTTAAATCTTCCCTGTATAGGTGATTTTCTATTAAGCCTTATCCATTTCAGTTGAAATTAAAATACGAGTATTTAGCATAGATTCGATAAAATGTTAAAACAAAATTATAGGAATTACATTAAAATTGTATATTTCACAGAATCGGGAATCATATTCCATAGTAAATTTAATTCGTAAATACCGCAAATTAATTTTAAAATCGTCAGGTTTTTCTCAGAAGCGGGAACATGACGCTAATATAAATAATTAAATAAGTGGAAAATGATTTTGTCCTATCAAAAATTATTGAGGAACATTTATTTTTGTTAATGTTTTGAGCACATAAAAATACTTTTTGCTTATATTGCAACCAAAAAATAAAAAAAAATTGAATAATTAAAATTGTTATGGTTACTTTGGTAATAAAATGATTACTTTTAAGTAAAATTAACTTCTTGTTAGTGTTATTAAAATATGGTATACTCGTTTCTTTTTTAAATCACCCTTTAATATCATATCTCATAAATTCTCATTTGTTAATTTTGAAGATTTTTTAAAAATATTAGTTTATTTTTTTTCAAAATAAGTATCATTATCCAATATTTTTTTTTAATCTCCTTTCTCATTTTGTCTTTTATACAGTATGAAACTGAAATTTATCTTCATCTAATATATTATTGTTCGAAACAAAGAGTTAGCTACAATGAAGTATGTTATAACTCATGTACACAGTACTAATCGTGTGGGTGGTAACCCTAACAATTTCTTTACTAATTTCTAAGGCCTTCAATATGTAACATATTGAAGGTATATCAAAATGAAGGTAATTATATCAAATTAACCTCATTCAGAATAGAATGTTATCATTAATAGCTATCTAAATTATCCAATGGATATATTTTCAAAATAACTCGTAATTGTACTTTGTATACCAATTTTGTTTACATTATGTTTTACATGAAGTCTCTGGAGTGATATTATTAATTTGGTATACAGAATTCATTGATTTGATTAAAATTATTTGGATTGACTTTGTTTTATATTGTAGTATTTTATGTTTGATTTTTTTCATACTTTATATTTACATGGAGGAATTAAAGAAAATGTTATTGAAAGGTCGAAAGTAACGATTTTTCCGCAAGTCTGGGTATACGACGTTGATAAATTGTATTGATTGATTGCGTTAGATGAGGAGAATTTGATTTTGAGCTTCATTTATTATACTCTAATATTTAGTAAGTTCATTTGAAATTTGGTTAGGTAGGGAGAAGAGCTTGGAAAGTGGAGGTGTACGTTTAATGCGCTTTAGATAAGGGGCCCCTTAAACCTACACCTGGTTCGCAAGTCCCAGGCACTGCTGTAGCTCCTCCCCCTGCAACGCGATGGATCCGGCACCCGCACGGTGAATCCATTGAATGCTAAGAGGTTTCGTCTTTATAGTCTTTGGGTTCGATAATTCAAGACCAAAAGAAAACTTGTGATCGCAAAATTGTAATTTGATGTTAGATAAGATATCTGTGATGTAATCTATACGAATAAATAAAATTGTAGTGTCTGTTTGTAATATTGAAATAACCATTCTTGACTACATGCCCATGAATATGTATACGATACATACACCGAAATAACATTTATTACAATTTTTGTCTGTTTGTCTGTTTGTTCCGTCTAATCTCTGAAATGGTGGTAGCGATTGTGACGGGACTTTTACTGACAGGTAGCTGATGTAATAAGAAGTAACTTAGGCTACTTCTTATCCCGACCAGAATTAAATGTTATCACGCGCTAGTGGGATTCAGGACGCACGCAGCGCTTAAAAGGTTTTTTATCGTTTATTTTTTCTTTTTACGCAGACGAAGTCGCGGTTAACAACTAGTTTCGCATACGAATATAGGGGACCTAGTGTCCTTTAAGAAAATTTAAATAACATTCCTACTTCAAACTTATTAACGGGGTGGTTATAAAGATAGATTTACAATACCTTTGAAGTTACCTGCATTTGTAACATGATAATAATAAGGTCAGATTCAGGGATTAATGTAACAATGGTGTAATTTTTTTATATAAAAATGTTATTTCATTCAAGTATTTTTGATATTCTAATCTATTTAATATAATTGTTAATTTATATATACATTTTCCATATTACAGCATACATCCAGCAACATTTTAGGTTTTAATTAACAATTAGAAGCACTAATTATAGTCAGATTCATTTTACGAACGAACTAAACCGAAATATTTTACTGTTTTAACTCTTCATAGTTTTACATGTAATATAAATTTATTTTTATTAATTTTTTAGGGTTTTTTTTTAGCTTTAAATATGAATTTAGACTTAATATTACCTTGTTATATGTATCATTACATCTTTTAAAAGAATAGCAACTAATGGCCACAATAATTGAAAATCAATAAGGAAGGAGCTTTTTAGATTTTGAGAGGAAATCATTCGTTTCACTTTCCTTTTCCTCAACATGTCCAATTATGGACAAATTACGTTCATATGAATATTTCAAAGGGACCAATAAAGTTTATTCAGATTTTATATCTGAGAGCTCGTACTCACTTCAACATCGAAAATAATAGTTAAAGACGTGGAAATTTTTCATGTCGCCATCTCAATGAAAAAAATTGTTAAAAATCTTTTAATGGTTGAGATGACTCTCCTGAAACAAACAAAGGAATACTTTCGATTAAATTTCCTTTGAAACAAAAATTTATAAAAACTTATTCCTCCGTTTAGGCTGAGCGATATAAAGAGAGTAAAAGTAATTTCCGCTAAACTAAAAAGAAAATCTAAGAAAATAAACTGTTTTTTCATTGACGATATGACAGAAGTGAAACAAATGGTAAACAAGTTTTAATTTGTCAATAGTGTTTAAATTTTCAGTACATGTACTCGTATTTATTAAAGGCTACAAAATAGCCTATGTAACTGTTTTCTGTTATTATAGAAAATAAATGTGTATTTCTTTAGTATAAGTAAAATATAATTTGGACAATGTTAAAAGAAACGTGAAATGAAATTTAAATTTCGCTGGATTCAAAGCTAGTTTTTTTGGAACTTGATAATCCAGAGGTTACTCGCATATCTATAATATATTACTAATTTAATTTGAATTCAAGTATGTAGTTCAATATTGCTAAAAAAATTTATGAAAAATGACATCTTGAGAAACCTTGATTTTTCATTTGAAGGTTGTATAGTTAATCATAGAATGAAAGCCAGTAGACCGTGTGCTGGAAGGTTTATTTAGTGCAATTAAATGATTTTGTTAAATATTGATTGCATAAAATATAAAAGAAGTTTCATGACTGAATTTCTTGTCATTTTTGGTTTGTTTCTTTTGAATATTTCTATTTCATTTATAATTATTTTATTAAAACTATAAACTATAGGAAAACATCGGTTTTATTGTTTTAGACAGGACATGTAAACTGTAGTTTTACGTACATTTTGCAAAATCCGCATGTTGTTTGAAACTATAAAAGGTTCTAATTGCTACAGTAATTGAATGGTAGCAAGATTTCAATAGATATAGTCCAAATAATAGTTGCAATCAATTGCTATAAAATAAAGTACCATAGTATAAATCGATTTCGACTGCAGGTCAGCGTATATATATATATTTTATCTACACCGTTAGGCATATTATTTTACTTTAACTTATTTGCGATTAAGCTACAGAATTGAATAGAACTTTTGACTAGATTATAAAATCTTGAAATAGATTTATTAATAGGATTACAAAAAAATTAATGTTTGGTAGTTCTTTGACCAATAATACAGTTTATACACTCAATGTTTTTACTAATTTCAACAACAATTTATTGTTAATAGTTTTGAACAAAAGAACTAGTACAGAATATGATTAATTGACCAAGAGTTGATTATAGTTTTGAGAATAGTACCTGAACTTATATCGCCGACATGGTATAAGGATAAGGTCCATAAATTTATGTTTTATGAATTGGAAACTACTGTGTTGAGTAATATGACTTCAGAATATTGTGGTTTTAATAATTGTATAAGGATAATCAAAAACAGTAATTCTATTATTCAAAAAAGAAACAAAAGAAACATGAAAATGCAAAACATGTCATTTTAATGTAATAAAGCAATTTTTTGTCGTGACCATCGTTTATATCAATTTATACAATTATGAATAGTAAACATTCCACGCCACGCAATCTGTATTCAAATATTACTCCTTCAAATTATGTTTTATTCATATAGTTTTATTTTTAGTAATTTTCATTTTGCTGCATGGAAAATAAGAAGTTATATATTGTAATAGCATGTTTGCGAAGCAGCGGGGAACGCTTAAGAAAATGAACAAGTGTGACATATTCGTCATCCCGAAACCAAAAGTTTTCAAAAATTTTCTGAACCATTTCATCCATTATTTTAGATTCCATAATCGCATCAGAAAAGCGAACGTCAAGTTGATGTAACGTTTAAAAAAGCTTTGTCAATATTGACATGAGTATTTTCTTAATAAATATTTTTCTTTTCTGATTTTGTAATAAAATATATTTCCGAGTGAATTCACAAGTAAGACAAGCGTTAGAGAATGACGAGTTGTCATCACAAGGCAATTTTGCGGGCCAAAGCCGACGAACGTGATGTGGGTAATTCATATACGTTATTCAAATGAGGTTACCTGGTATATAGGCTTTCGTATGGTGCTCAGGATGACAATTAGATTTGATACTTTCCAAACGTTATCATGTTGTTTTTAACGTTTTGTTTGTTATTCGTTCCAGACCACGCAATTTCGGGTGAGATCAATTGCTCTTTTATTAATTACATACTTGTCTGTATACGTGCTTGTTAAAACAACACAAAAGATTCTTGTTTTTATATCATCTGTAATGAAATTATTTGTTATTTTTCCACTATAGTGTAAATTATGTTCAGTTTGTAATACAAATAGGGTTCAGGTGAAGATAAAAGTAAAATTTGTTGTCGTTTCGTCCCAACTTTCCACGTGTTATTTGTTTTGCTGATGCAGTGAATAATCAATGTCGTTTTCGATGATACGTGGGTTGAATAAAAATAAGGAAGAATGTTTGAGTGATTTATTCTCTTGTATTTGTGATTATAATTTATTGAATTTAGTTTAATTCATGATGATAATTAATTTAATTTCTATCAAGAATATAACTATATGATTCTGATTCTTACAGCTTGGTTTTTAAGACCCAGCATCATACTGTCAGAAAAGATTCCTCTATGGGAGAGTTGGAAAACGCCAACCAAAGTTGATGAAAGAATTGTGGGAGGAGAGGAAGCTAATATAGAGGACTATCCATACCAAGTATCCTACACCTTTAATAATTCATATTTTTGCGGAGGATTTATTGTCAGCGAAAACTATATCCTAACAGCCGGCCACTGTTCTCAGAAGTAAAATCACCAATCTCTCATACAATAATTTAATTATATAACATATTATTAAAAAATTATTCATTCTAGCGTCGATCCATCAACAGTTGTACTCCGTGCTGGAAGTTCCTATCGCCAAAATGGTACAATAATACCCATAGCAGAAGTAATGGCCCATCCAGAGTATGATGATCCCGCGTTTGATAAGGACGTCGGTTTTATGAGGACAGCTGAACCCATACAATTTAGTGACACAATACAACCAATACAACTTGCAGAGAGAGAAAGACCACTTGTAGGTGATATCCAAGTTACTGGATGGGGAAGGCTCAAGGTGAGTTAACATTCAGAACTATACTAAGCATTACCGGGAAATTAATTTCAAAATAATTAAAATATGTATAAAATTATTCATATAACGACAACAGCTTTTAATGAAACAGAGCAAAAATTTATCAATGCAAATCACGTACCTACCGAATTCCTCTTGAATATGATATTCTTATTGCCTGAATGAATTAATTTACATACGTTTAATAAGAGCACATTTCATATCCATGTCAATTCAAATAAAAGGTCATATATTTGTATAAATAAATTTCAGCTTTATTTTTAACTCTTTCATTGTATTTTTTCACGATATTTATTACAGCAAGGACAAAATCCGATTCCAAATAGACTGATGCGTGTTAAAGTACCAGTTGTTAATTACTGGCAGTGTACATTATCGTACTTCAGTGTTTTGACCAAGAATATGTTCTGTGCTGGTAATTTCTTCCTTGGAGGACAAGGGACTTGTCAGGTAATTAAAAAAAGTTGATCGAAGTAATTATTATTATGCCATATCATATGTTCACGAGAAGATTGAAAAGAGACTACAAAATACTCCTCATGTACTGTCAACAAAGAATACTGTGATATTTTGAAGTAATAATCATATAACGAAATTCCAGGGAGATTCGGGAGGCGCTGCAATACAAGATGGGAAGGCGGTCGGTATTGTTTCCTTTGGTAGAGGTTGCGGCCAGGCTTTTTCACCGAGTGTATTCGCAAACATAGCATCACCAGCAATAAGGGATTTCATTACCCAACACACTAACTTATAATAAAAGAACTTGATAGAATTGTAATATATAATTAAGTTTATTTATTTAATACAGTGTATTTTTTAATTTAATTTTTATTTTCATTGTAAGTAATAAAGTTCTACTACAATACTATAATATATTTATTTTCATCATTCATAAAGTTATATTAAGTACAAAAAGTAATAAAAGGGTTATTTAATTAAATTTTTGTTGTACCAATTCTCTCATTTTCAAAGAACGAGATTTGACACCTCTTTTGAATTTTGTTAAAGATAATTTAGCTTTTGCTCTTATACATATCGTAAATTTTTATTTTCTAGATATCTATGCACTGGGAAAGGTATAGGACTTTGAATTATAATATATATGGGATCAAGATTATAAATATTATTATATAATTTTAGTGTTATATAAAGTCTTTTGGCTCTTAAGTAAGAAGTAACGTCTCATACTCATATGGATATATGTCATGAGTAATGCTAAAATCAACACTTTTAAACTAGCAAAACCTTGGGCAAAGATTCATATGTACAAAGTTCATATATTCAACAAATAAATAAATATACCTATTTATTTCTTTAAAATAATTTATTTGGGTGTCCTGAGAAGATCTTTTCGAGTTTGCAAATTACTCATTTTGTTTAATCATATCAAAAGAATGGAGATAAAATTATACAAGAGAAATATAAAAAAAAACACAGTTCATAATTTCCTGAATTTAAAATTTAAAAAAAATAATATATAGTAAGAAAAAAATTACTGCCACTAGTACGATTTGAAACTGAAACATCTGGAATATCGCTTTCCAATTGTTTTGTTAGTTAATATATTGTGATCTGACTCAAATATGTCCTGTCGCTGACAGATCCGGGGTACACCGACACAGCGGCCGATGGTGAATCAAATATTCTATTTATAATCAAATATCTGTAATGTGTTCGTAAGAGCGTCTTAATTAATGTTTAAATAAAATAAATAATTTAAACTACATAGTCCTGACGTTTCGGTTACTTTACCACAACTGGGGTCTAGGATAGACGAGATGAGAATCCTGGTGTCCAACATTGCAGTATATAATTTAATAAAGTAATAACTCAACATTGCTTTAGTTTTAAATACATAATGATAAGAAGTCACTAACCTAACATTCCTATTAACTTAATTGGAGCAATGAAACTAAGAATAAGGAACCGAAATATCTGCTCTCGTTTTGGTATTTGAAGAGAATTATTTATTACGTTTGATCTCTTAGATTACAGAGATACTCGTAACATTTATCTTTTTGTTGTAACTTAGATACCGGGAATTAGTTACTGTGAATTTATTTAGATATTATTCAGTTAAGTGTCCTGACAATAGATATTTTCGTAGGAGGCTATAATGATTAGAATTCACTGTTATCAAGTGTACGTGGAATAGCTACTTATGAGAAGTTGAAATAACTTTGTAATATATTTACCAACTAAAACCATGGTGACAAATGGGTAGCAACCATTTTTCAAACAATATTCCTTAAGTATTTATCATAAATACTAGTTATTTGTTTCAATACATGTTTGTGTACTTGTGTTCTTTAAAAAGGAGAAGATATGTTTCGAACCAAAAATTTTTTCACTGCTGTAAATACAATTTAATGTTATAAATTTCTTTACCCTTTTATCATAAGGTTGGTTTTTCTTTCTTTGTAGATATATTTTTATCCATCTTTTATTTGTTTCATTTTAACGTATTTTATTTTATGAAAATAGATTTGCCCTCTGCCAAGTTTCAAGCTAGGAAGAAATATAATATATAGAGTATTAAAATATGTTTGAGTTTTATGTGGGATAAAGCCAACACATAAGTTTACTTAACAAAGATTTTAAAATAAACTGATAAAATTTCTTTTATTTTTAGTTTGAGCCAGGACACACGTAGAAAGCGAACTTCTTCATCATCCAGAATATTTGTCCTAATTGTCAGCTTAAGTAATTACTTTGATGGGCTTCATCATTTCCGAGAAACCCGCCACAAAATAACAGTATTTACCCTGTTTATAAGAATAGCAGGTTTTGCTTCCTTTCTCAAAAAATGTAAACGCCTATTATCCCGATTTAATTTAAAATTTGTTTCATAAAGATTACAGTTTTTCTGTGATAAAAATGGGTCACTCTATTCAGAATCGAGCTATAAAAAACAAAGATTGCGTCGTAAAATGGGGACATGAAAAATATTTTGTCTTACAGCTATAACGGAGAGTAAGAAAAATTTTGAATGCGGCACATAAACACAGTTGTAGCATATAAAAACTTTGTCGGAATAATTTGTTTTAAAATCTCTGTCAATACGGTCCCATTAGCACGTACATGAGTTACAGTAATTTTTAAAATAATACATTCTTCTTTTCAAACCTAATGTCTTGAGTTTTATTTCTTTTTATTCAATTATTTAAAAAAATGGACTTCAGCTTCAAAAGTTGGATTTTCGATTTGAATATATTTTATTCCACTAAGTCCATAAAATAAATACCAGGTACGAGAGACGAGAAACGAAACGAATCAGCATTCCATGGATTCACTGTGCGGGTGCCGGGTCCATTGCGTTGCAGGGAGAGGAGCTTTAAGAGTGCTTGGGACATGCGATCCAAGCGGAGGTTTTAGGGTCCCATACTTAACTTTTAATAGGTTTTAGAGAGATTTAACTATAATAATTCTCGCTTCCACATCTATCGCGTAAAAATTTAAGACAAACCTATACTTAGTGAGTTGGTTAGTGAGATGGTTATACATTGATGCTATAGCCTTGGGGGATGGTGGTTTCCCAAGGAACCCCAGGCTCTATAAACATAACTCGCTTTAAAATTCGCAAATACAGAAATATGTTTGGTCTGGACTTTGTAGCACAAATATTCTTTGGGATTTTATATTATTTCTGATATGTATCTATCATTACGGTCACATCCGGAGCCTCATTAAGGATAAAGTAAAGCTGGACGTGTGAATTTCTAGTCCTAGTGCCTTCTCTCCCAAAATCTTTTGATTGCTAGTTCCTGGATATTTATTTTTGTGCTCTGGCTGCCGAAAGAATAGCTTCACGTATTATTTCTAAAACTCTAACGTGATAACGCGAGTATTGACAGCTATTCAGGAGTAATCTTCATCTCAACAGCATATGCTCAGCAATTCTAACTTCCTCCTCACAGATATAGCAAGTTTTTTCGGTATCTTTACCGAATCTTACTAAATTACTCTGATATGGGAATCATTTGGAACGCATAGAGATAAAATTTTAACAGTGCTGGTGACCAATCATGAATTAAGGTGCGAAATTTTAGTGTTAATGGGACGCAGAAATATTCTATGACTTATCACTCGTTCTGCATTTCTCAATTCATTGAATGTATATTACATGTATCAGTTTTGTGTTGCCCAATACAAGATTTTGATATTTTTTTCCCGAAAATAAGTTATACTAATATATAATCTGTGAATTTCAATGATGTTAGTTTTAATACTGTCTGTATTTTATACTTTGAAAATAAATGTTATAAATATTTATGAAGTTGTTTAATTATAATGTAAATGCAAATAGCGGAGCGCTCTAAATGCCTACTAAATTGTTACAATGCATTGCATACATTATTTATGATCATATAGCTTCTGTATAGTGAAAAATATCTGTCTACTATTTATTATGATTTATACATATATTAAAATTATTACTTTACAACTTCTTATTAATTATTCTTTGAAGCTTCTTTGATTTAAACCTTAAGTTTTACTTTCTCATAATCTACAGTGCATTCATAATATTAATTTATATTACAAGTGGAGTCGCGGTTTAAAGATACAAATAATTAAAAAATTGATGATCTGACATCGAAGGGTACTTTTCAGATTAAGCATGTGGGTAATAAATAATCTTTAATAATATATAGGCATTAAAAACATTATAATTACAGAGTTACTTTCAGCAATTGCTCGAAGATGTTCAGCATAATATATTTAGTTTTTGGACTGAAATTAGTTTTTGGTAGAATAAAAGAGCTTTGTGTTAAAAATGCTTCTTGTAAAATAAATTAAACTACGACATCTGTTCCAGGTTTTTATTTATCTGATATTATACAACCGGGGAACGTTCCGTTGTGGAGTGAAACGGAGGAGACTGAATATGAAGTGGATGAGAGGATAGTGGGGGGTCAAGAAACAACTATAGAGGAATATCCACACCAAGTGAACTTTATATTCCAACGAGATAATGGTACTTACTTTTGCGGAGGTTTCATCATCAGTGAATATTATATTCTGACAGCAGCCCACTGTGCACAAGGGTAATTATTCGAATTGTTTATTTTATTATTGATACTAAACAGTTTTAAATTATGACATTGTTATCCAAGGACCTTAGAGGCTTCGATCTAAAAAGCTTAAGAGACTGTTTATCAAATAAATTTACTTTTATACATAGAGTAAATTTTTTGGTAGTATATTTTTCCCTCTTTAAGGAATTTTAATGATTTAGTTTGTGATGTTGGTCTATCAATAATATTACTTTAAAATATGTTTCAGTATTGATCCTACCACAGTGGTTCTGAGAGCTGGTAGCGCATATCGGGGCAATGGCACTATTATACCAATAGATGAGATAGTCGCACACCCAGAATATAACGATTCACCCTTTGATAAGGATGTTGCCTATATACGAACTTCTAATCCAATACAGTTTACAGATGCCATGAAGCCCATTCCTCTCGTAAATGAATCTGAACCGTGCAGTAATAGAGTGAACGTCAGTGGATGGGGTAGACTAATGGTAGGTATTATATCATACAGGAAAAAACATAGTTCGTTAGAAATATTAGCATTAAACGCCTACTTTATAGAACGTCGTATAAAAATATATCTCATGACTAAAGTGTTATTTTAGGAAGGACAAAATCCGTTGCCTCTAAGACTGAGAGCGGTTAATGTGCCAGTTGTTGACTATTTTAGGTGTATGTTGGCGTATCCCAGAATATTGACTCGCAACATGGTATGCGTTGGTAATTTCTTATTAGGAGGTCAGGGTACTTGTCAGGTTTGTTCTTAATTTATTCTCTTCTCTTCTATATTGTTTTAATGCTATATATGTATATTGTCGTCTTGGTATATAGATACGTATGTAGATTATTATTTTAGGGGGATTCAGGGGGAGCTGGGGTTGATAACGGGAGAGCGTGTGGTATTGTGTCATTTGCAAGAGGCTGTGCACGGCCCATGTCTCCGAATGTCTTCACAAATATAGCGGCTGGACCAGTTAGAAGATTTATCACGGACAATACAGGTGTATAATGTCAAGTTATTTAAATGGTTTTATATTGTATAATTAACAGAGAGTACTATAATACACATATATTTTTACTTAGAGTCCAATGAACTTTTTACATCGGCGTCAAATTTTTTTGGCAATGAAATAGAAATTTATTTTAACCATAGAAACAAAATATTTCTGGGAACACATTTCGTTTAAGATGTCATTGCAATTCATGAACCATTGGATTTTTAGAATACTAACACAAAATTAAGTATTTTATATTTTTTAATTTCTACATGTTGTAAAATTTTATTTTTTCTTATGAAAACAGGCTGCAATCATTATCATGTTTGAGGTGAAACTATTTCAAAACCAATAAAAAAAATTAAAAGTTTCAATATTTACTTTATTTACAACCAAATAGTATTTATAATACAATCAAAATTTTCTTAATATTTTTGGTCAATTGGTTATCACAATTTTGAAATAAGAAATCTTATAATTTATTATAAAGATTTGAGATAATACATACAAGAAGTGACAAGATAATTTACAATGAAATTTTACTTAAAAACCTTGAATGTACATAACAAGTATAAAATTATACATTTCAAAAATAAGCAACTAGCATTAATGTTTTGCGTGTTTCCTGAAAAGCATGTAATTTGCATGACTTGATAATAACATTGTTATACTGTAGGCATGTGAGACCACTCTGTGCTCTAAGAATGAAATTTATATTTAGCTACAATGATCATAGTTGAAGCGTGAATATATTCAACTTCAATAAACCCACAGACTCTTTTCTTTATTATATTACTGTTTAAGCACAATATTGATGAGCACAATATAAAAGATCGAGTGTATCGAGGATTTATTTATGCAAAAACGGAATATGATAATTTTAAATTAACAAACAATGTAATTTTTCCTAAGATAAATAAAATAAATATCATGAATCTAACGATACGAGATATTCATTGACCCATTAATTAGGTTTCTCCTATTTATATTTACAAAATATATTACAATGTTGAAATTACTTTTTACGTCGTATTTTAAGTCAGTCATGTAGAAAGATGGGCTTGTGGATATGAATGATTGAATTTAAGTGTTCATTACGTGGATTTCTAAAACATTCGCTCGAAAATTTTAATGATAAATATAAGATACGACACAAAAGAGGGTTGATGTCAGGCAGGCGGCCGGTCGTAAAAACAAATAGCCAAAACTATTCACAACATGCAAGGCAGACCTTGGCTATAGCTGGGAAATTGCCAGGTAGAAGAAGAAGAAGATAAGATACGACACAATTTATACTTTTGTAAAATGTATTTAGTATCTATTTTTATTAAATTAGAAAAGTAATGTATATTCTCATTTAGCTAGATGTATTAAATACAATGATATGTGTAATAGTAACAGATGCTTAATTATATCTAGGGTTCGAAAACATAAAATAAAATTAAGTTGAATGAATTTATGTGGAAATTTTGCTTTTGATGCAATGATTGGATTATACGGAACATGTTGTTTTGAATTGCTATTAAGAAGATGGTACTAATTTGATCTTCTAATGCGTTTCCTCATATTACCATATTAATGAACATATATAAACATATTGTTCTGATTATAAATAAAAGAAAAATAAACCATGATACGATATTATGATGAAGTTTATGTATTTGATTTTATTTACACCCATAAATTTTATTTTGGAGTTAATAAGGTGTTTTATAATGAACACAAACGGTTCAGTGTTTGCTTGGAAATGACATTTCTACTAATATTGTCTAAGATATAAAATTTTTAGTTACACAACCATTATTCTAAATATCACAAGTTATCTATCATAGATTTTATAGAAAAGGTCACTCCTGATACCATAGCTACCATGGAGAATAATAAAATAAGACAATTCTTCCATAAAATCCAGTTGCAGGTCCCCATACCTTTGTCCCATCGAAAAACAGTTTCGACGATAGCGGGGAGTGATAAACCCATTATAGACAAACACACAGCTCCGACCAACTCCATGAAGAGTTCTAATCTTGGAATCGCACAGGCGAGACCCACTAAAAGAGAAAATAGAAATAACACATATAACGAAAATTAAATAGGATAAGTATAAATAATTTTTCATCTGGTAGGTGGTAAAATAGTCTTAGGTTAGAAGGAAAAAAAATTTAACAGATCCGTTATCAAAATGTAAGTCATAAAAATGGAAGCGTACCACTCGTCATAGGAGTTATTGATGTAACGATAAAATCTCGTATGTATTAGATAGACATAACAATAAAATATGTATTTCTGATTTTAACACGGTAGTAATTTTCGATTAATAATTTATTTTTACATTGTTTCGATAAAACCATGTTTCCCGGATATAATTTGCGTTTTTATCATTTAAATTTGACCGATGTTTCAATTATTTTTCATTGACTAGTTCCATCTGTGTGGAGTTACTGATTGAATAACAAGATTAATATGTCCCGTTTTTATATCATTAATTTTGATAGAGATGGCTGTATATTTTCTACACTACTAGACTTCAATATGAGCTGCAAGCTCTTGAGGATTTCTTCGATCTTTTAGTACACTATGCAGGTAAATAAAGAAATTGTTAGTAATGGAAGACGAAAAATAATATTAACTGAATGACATTTTCCTCTAGTCTTCTCGTGATCAGCGTTTCTTTATAATCATTTTAGTGTCGAGTAAAATTTCATATAATAAAATACGAGTGTATTCTTAAAATAAATTTTTATGAGTCATCAAATAATTACCAGTCAATAGTGTTCCACCGAGTCTCAGACCTGCTATGGACCATCTGTGGGTCCGAGCGGGGATTTTCTCTTGCAATCGTCTCCACACCACGTCCACGGGAACGTAGAATATTAATGCGTATGATAACAGCATCACACACGCAACTAGGATCTTCGCTACTTGAGCTAGGCTGAAATAAAATAAGGAGTCATATTTATAGTCTCGTATTTCATAACAATATAATTTTTTGTTCTATGCTTATGAAAATTATGACGTATAAATTAGCCTCGCTTAGGTCAGGCGGATATGATCTTGTAGGTTTTTCCAAGCTGATACAGGTAAGTATATATTAATTGATGCTTTAAATATGTATGCTTACATTTCATCCTGGGGTAGATTTAAAGTGAGACTGCCTCTGACTTCTTCACCGAAGTTTAGGTATCCGGAAAATCCTACGAAAGTGTAAAGAGCCACAACCGCTGTCATAGCGATGTTCAATACACCAGGACAACCAAGGAACTGTTGAGGCTTTGTCATTTCATTCTCTACTGGCATAACAACACCGATTCCTTCCATGGCAAAAAGACTTGTGCTGGAATAAATACACTAATAAATTTATTTAAATACACTAAATATATTGGATATTTCCAACTTTAAATCATTTAAAAAAATATTTTTTTGGGTGTTTAGTAAAAACGTGATCACGTTTACAATTGCAAAAGATATGCCATACATAGTTAATTATAGGTATTGTCATTATATTAGTCTTGTATGGCGAATTTACTTATACTTTTTACGAATTATTGTCCTTTAACTAGAAGATTAATTAGATCTTCAATTAAGAGTAATTATTACGAAGGAAGTTTATTAAGAAAGTTTCTTCCTGTTCTATCAAATATTGTCAGATATAAATTGTTGTATTAAATTTCCAATATAATATTGGCTTTAATTTTCAAGATTGTTGACATTAATGATCTTCGAAGTGAAATTTTACAGCTATCTGTACAAATGAATTTAAATATTTCAGAAACGGTCTCGGCGTCTTTTATGGTATTGGTTAATGTTAAGCAATTGAATTATACATTTCTGTTTAGTTAATTTCTTAATTGATAAAGACATTTTTTTACTTTAACATTTCCCTTTTATAATAATGAAATCTTATTTTTTTCATTCAAATTAAAACACATGGAAATTATATGAAGTGAATATATTAAAAGGATTGAGGATTTAAGTCATATCTAAAGATAAATTCAATGGAAAATTTTCAAACTAATATTTGCGTGGGTTTGCATACTGACGACAAAAATATAATATCAGGAGTGCTATTTCGTAACTTTTTTATATTTATATATTTATAACAAGATTATGATAAATATCAGATGTTAGTGTTAAAACAAATTCTTATCTTGACTAATAATATTATACAATTTCCTACCTTATAAAATTAGGTAATCCTGATAACGAGGTAGCTAGATTTCTTTCACTAATTGGTGGTGGAGATCTTAAACAATAATATATTGATATGCAGATGGATGTAAGCCATACGAAGTTAGCCAGAGCTGAGAATGGAACTAAGTATTTTAATTTCGTTATCTGTGTCAATGGTATTAACACAACTAGTGTTAAGGCACAGAATGTTGACACAGACCATTTCGGACCACCGTATTCATCAGATACCTAGAAATAAAGACGGCATTATAATTTTTTCACTTAAGTAATTTAATATTTTTAACCTAATCTGTTAAATGTTCACTAGTATCAAAATAGTAAATTGTATTATAATTTAGCATAAATAACACTCTTCTTTAAGCTTCCATTGAAATAATGTTTATTAATGAATTCTGGTATTAAAATTTTAATCAAAATAATATATATTATACATATATACCTGTTTAAAAGATTCGGCTATAACGACAATGTATACACAACATGCTCCTAAATGTGTTACAGCAAGAGCCCAATCTGCTAACTCTCTGTAATATTTCGAATAATTAGAATATTATAAGATTAAAATCCAGGTTTAATATAAGTAAAGAATTAAATACACAAGAAGAAAAAATACACATTGCATCCCAATCTAATGATCATATACAAGTTTATACAAAATAATATTTCAATCAATTCAATTGTTTTTGGGTTTATTAATAATATATACAGACATAAACGGAATATATTTTTTGTTTTTATTATACAAGTAAAATAAATTTGTTTTATGTTTACTATGTTTTAAATTGTAATTAGTCTTTAAATGTACTCATACTAATTAAAAGTACGAAAATAAATATTAATTCAAAATAGCAATTGTTTTTTACAAAAACATCAAGAGTAATTAAAAGTTTGTATACCAAATGTAATGTTTAATTCATTACATTTGTAATATTTTATTTACCTGGCAAAGGGAGCGTATTTCCTAATTGGTTTTGGTCCAGTCTGGAATACTAGATCGCATGTATCCGCATATCCTAAGCAAGGCCTCTTGATTTCAACACATAAAGCTTGTGAAGTTTTCACCTGAAGCAAAAAGTATCATTTAAAAGAGGTTTTATATTATAATCACGAAGTAAAGAAATTATTTTTTAGTTGTTTTATCCTCATTTGTTTAAAACATTTATACGTTAAATATAAAATTATTTTCGTCATATATGTAAATGCACATACATTGAGAAAATAAATAATTAGGTATATACTTAAATAAAAAGGAATAACTTTCCTAGATATATAAATATGGAATACGTGACAATGTACCTTTGAACTGAAATTTCTCTAGTGACGACATACGCGGGCAGGAATAAAATATACAAAAATTTTGAAAAAGATTTTAATATTACTTCAGAATTATAAAGAAGAGCGGATTATCTTTATTTAAATGAAGCTTTGAAATAGCCAATCACGTTTTTGGACACAAAAACTTTTTGGGATAATTAATCAATTAAAACTACTAAAAGGATCTTACAAAAGTTAATAATTGCTTTTTTAATAACAATTTGTTTTCTTATTTTGTAATATTATGGTATTTTATGATTAAGATGTAACAAGGATTATGGTTAGTATTTTTATAAAAATAAATAGATAATTATAAAATATTAATTAAATATTTTTTAATTAAAAAAATATTATTATTTATTATTCCTTGATAGCAATTTGGCTCGTATTCCTTTGTCATTATAGAGCTGTCCTAAAACTACTTCAAACTATTTAGTTTTAAGAGCTGTTATGAAATTTGTGTTGAATTATTCTTAGTTCTTCCTATGTTTAATTGCTTGTCTACTGAGATTTTCCTGAAGGATACGAAATTAATTTATGGAAGACATTAAAATATTAGTATTTAGTAAGTGGTGGCCTAGTGGTTAAAAGGCCCACCTCTCATGCATGAGGGCGCGGGTTCGATCCTGGCCCGGGCAAGTACCCATGTGATTTTTCCGAGTCATATGTACTTTCTAAGAGTATTTAGACATCACTAATTAATGCATTCCCAAATAGGATTGATGTCAGGTAGGCGGCCCGTCGTAAAAACAATTAGCCAAAACTATTCACAACATGTAAGGTAGACCCTTGCTAAAGCTGGGAAATTGCTAGGTAACAGGAAGGAATTAAAATATTAGTATTTAAACTTCTCTGTATGTATAGTTTTTTAAAATTTTACATATACATGTTATTTCATTTAATTACATCCAATAATATTAAAAAAATCGTAACTGTTGCAACATTTTCATTCTCAATCTAGGTTCAAAACGACAATATTTTGATAACTAAACAATGAATAATTTATAATATAAAAACATTATAAGTATACCTTATTGCGGTAATGTTCTATATAGTTTATTCGTCTATATATTTATGAAGTGTATTCCGCAGTGTAAATTGTATGGCAGTCATAACAAAGAGAGTATTGCGGTTTGAGTGGAGGTGAAAGTATGATTTGTTGGGTTGCGTAATGGCGTCACCCAGTTTCTTTATTGACACATTGTTGATATAGAAATCATTGTCAGTTTAAGGTTAAGTGTTTTGCATCGTAATCAAGACTTCTATTTATATCTGCATACATCGTAAGAACTTGCATTAATTATAAACAAACCTTTCTTAATATATATTTTTTTCATATTCCGTTGATGATGCAAAAAAATTCTAAATATCTCATAAAAAATTAATTAAAAAAATTAATTAATTCTAAATATCTATATTAATGACGGATTTACCTCATAAAATTTATATGATCTTAATGAAAAAGCCATCAAAAACCATGGTCGAATATTTTTCTCAATATTTCACCGCGTTTAATTAAAATTTATGTATTTTGTGTTTCACAAAGCGTCAAAGCATCTCAAATCTTCTTTATACATCGTGTTATTTGGAATCTTTAATTTAGAATCTTCATTGTATACAGAAAAAGTCTAAATATTTTAATATTCAACCATTATAAAAGAAGGTCATGGTTGCCTAGAGGTTAAAGACCAGCCCCTCGTGCATGAGGGCGCGGGTTCGATCCTGACCCTGGCAAGTACCAATGTGATTTTTCCTAGTCATATGTACTTTCTAAGAGTATTTAGACACCACTGAGAGGCAGCGAGGGAGAACATCATGAGGAAACCTGGAGTTATAATATCAAATTATAAATTTGAAATCGCCAACCCGTCTTTAGCAAGTGTGGTTATTAATGCTTAAATATTCTCCATGTAAGAAGAGGCCCTTGCTTAGCAGTGGGCTCCATTAGGCAGATGATGAAGATATGTAGAATATGTTTAGTTTAATCGTATAAATATACTTACCAACACATGGATAACGTGAGCACAGACGAAGCCTATGGCCATAGTCCCGATAACACCTACAAGTAAACCAGCATTTTTGAAGGCGAGAGGCATCGCCAGTACACCAGATCCTAAAGAGGCTTTCAATAAATGCGCTAGTGCACCGAAACTCCTAGAAATAAAAAAATATTTATAGAATATTTTATTTTGTAATCGACTCTCGTCCATATAGAATATGCAGAATATCTATTATTTCTTAGGAACTACTTAAAGAGTATCGGTTTTCGTTCTCTATTACCTTTGTTGTAATATAGCTATTATATTTAGAAAGGATTTTTCAAGTTTGTGAATATGTTTTTGGGAATTTAGGATATTAAGAAATAATGAATAATTATCTACTCACGATGTGTTTGACTCTAATGGTCTGTGGGCGGCTGGTACATAAGGATCTAGGTCTTCCCTTGAACCATTATAGGCAAGTTCGATTCTGGAAGTAAACAATATATGATTCAATTAAATTATTTAATTCTAATTAAGTTTCCATAAAGATTGCAATTTAAATGAATTAATATAATTATGAAATATTTTATACATAATTATTTTAATTTCAGATGATGAAAGATATAATATTATTGCACAATGTAAACAATTGCGTTTCATTTTAATAGATATTCAGCAACAATGTTGATCATAATCTTTACTAGCATTTTTTTTAAATATTTAACAGTTATTATAATATACTGTTTATAATTAAAGTTAATATGACATCTGATATTATGTGTAATATTCTCTTATACCAATTGCCCTTTAAGAAGGTTTAAATATATATATATTTATATGAATGCGTCAAGTGTTTGGTCGTATGTTATATAACTCCAACTTGTCACGTTCAATGTATTTGGTTTTAGGTTTGTTCATATAAATAAAGCTCCGAAAATCTTTTAGACCATTAATATACATGAAGAGTAAAAAAATTGCGACGGTAATAAAAACCATGTCATGTTTAAGACTAAGGGAATTTACAGTGACGTATTTTATCCGTTTTTATCATTTGTTTTATTTGTGATAAGATTTATTTTGAGGACTGTACTCAATGTTTACATGTTAAATACTATTCTGAGCAAATATGTTGTAAAATAACAATTGTAGCGACAGTTACAACGAGTTAAGATAACGAGCTAGTTTTAACTAGTTCTAACGTATTCCCTTGGGTCTGTTTTAGAAGCCCCTGATGTATTTAATGAATAACTGCGCTTTAGGATTGGACTAAAACTACTTCAAGTCTTCTGGGTTGTTCTGTTTTCTAATCTGAAAAGACCAATATAACTTTGTACTGATTGATAATTTTGTTTTGCTGACAAAAATATTCTCAAAGGTACACACGTACTAAGAATTTTTGCTCTCTTTATCTTTGATTACTCTAGGAGGGTTTTAGATTTATTTAAAGATTACAAAAATAAATAAACTATAATGAGCCTTATGTAATTTATTATGTATAAACTATACTATGATAAAAATTGTGACGTTACTTATGGCAGCAGATTGCGTTTTAATTAGTGTTACAATTTTTTAAAAAAGAAATACCTACTTTCATATTTTTTCAAATATGAAAGTATTTCTTTTTAATATTAAACGAAAAATTTGTGCGAATTGTCTTGATATTTGCAAAGCCCTGTTTTATGAAATCCTATGCATCGATGAATAAAAAACATGCTTCGTCGAAAGTTATAAGTGATGTAATTGCGTTTAAGCTTCAGGGGCGATGGTGAAGTTGTTCAAATTACATTACAATATTTTGGGTTGCGAAATCGTCAAAGGAAATTTTCCACCAAGTGTCCAAATCGTATCAGATTAAATGGAATGTTACTTCGCAATAGTCGTTCAAATTTGTTGTTGAGTGGGATGGATGTTACAAGTATAATATTTTTAATTAAATCATGTTTTTAAATTACTCGTAAAGTTATTAAAAATTTCTTCTTAGAACTATTTTATTGTATCCGAGGATATTTAATGCAACTTCACAATAATAGCTCCTTTGATAATTAAAATATTGTAAAAAAGAAGATACTATTGCTTATTGCAAGTTGATTTTGAGAAACATTTGGAATAACAAATGTAATTTAATTGGAAAGAGTCTCTATTCAGAACCTGTTTTATTGTCAAAATTTTCTTTAATTTGATCTACATTTAGACTTATAAACTATGAACTATGAATTAAGATCAAAAATTTTGAATGAAGATGCATAAATTCAGAACATGCTGAAAATTAGTCAAATTATTTAAAACATAATTATATATAAAAGTTTTAAGTTTCCCGCCTTTGCGTTAAAAAAATTTAACGTCAAAAGTCAAAAGATTTATAGTACCAAAATGTCGATGTATAATAATAATAAAAGGTATTCATCTAAACTAACTTTTAATGTTTCCTTGCTATCCCATACAACGTTGTGTAGTATCTTAAGTTAATAATGTATGGCGCTTTAGCGTTGTAAGTATCAACATTTTACTTCATAAAGATACTCATTCCAGCCTTCTGTGTTTTACGGATCCCGAATTTTTTAAACATAAATAAAGGGTAGGGAGCGAATTCAAATTCAAAATATTTTTCTATGTCATCTCGAAATGCCACAGTAATAATAATTTTTTGGAACAGTAACACTATGAAAAATAATAGGTACTTTTATGTTACTAGTCATAGCTAAAGAAGTAAAACTCTCTGTGTTTTCTTTAATATCAAGTCCTGAAATTAAAATGGGCCGAAAAAGAACTTTATTGCAATTAATTTTAAGAGCACCATCTACACCACTTACTAAAGAAACAATTTTGGTAACCTCTGGAAATGGGTCATGCTAGAGAACCACTCTAAAGCTATATGAATACGGTGTTCTCATGAATATGACAATAACAATTTTTACTACTTTGCGAATGGTTACTTCTCAGAAACTGTGGCTCGTAGGAAAAAAGGGATTGATACATTTTTTATATACAATTTTATGATGTACAATTTATCTGCTCCACTCTTAGGATAAAACTTACTCTGATGTTGAAAAAAAACCATTTTGTTTAACCTTTGACATTCATTAAATAAAATTACATAGGCATGATGTCCAACAATAAAAATTTATATATAATTTGTCGATATCTACCGAACCATTATGGTATATATGATTAATTTTGTTCCTTACAATTATCGTATTTTATTTTCTGTACCTTAATAAAATTTATGTAATATCATCCCCTTGAAAACATAAAATACACCCACATTTCTGTATATATATTTTCAAAACGTATTGTAATTTATTTTATAAGTTTTCTGTAACTCAAAATAGATTAATATTCTTTTATTTTCTTATATTAAGTCTAATATAATTGAGATATACTTTCAACTTAATGTAGACTTACAATATTTTTTCTGTATTTCAGTCACTTCAAATGGTATATAAGAAAATTTAGTTTTTAATTATAAAATTGCTAGTTTAATTTAAAATTTCAAAGGTTTATCATTTACTCTTAGTCAGAATCAACATTGGGTAATATTTTATCTAAAAATGTTATCACTCAATGATAAAGTATAATTATCTGTTTCTTTACGTTTATTATTAAAAACAACAAAATATATTTTTGTAATATTATTAAGTGTAAATGAGAAAAATATTATATAAGTCGTTTATAATAGATAGAGTTATATGAGTGGTTTTTCAAATGTTCATTGTAATTAAGATGATGCAAATATATTGTTACGATCGATTGTTGTTTTACGAAACAGCGTCATTATATTTCGGTATTGCCTTCAAGTCATTGCACAGTCACGAATATGAGCTATAAACCCCAGTCCTTCGTTAGTGTCATATAATATTGGTATAGTTAAATGAAGTTAAGAAACACTTTAGTACTGGAACTAATATACATTATTTATTATAACAAATGCTTTGTACTTGAAATGGTCATAATAGATTCTTAAGTCGGAATCTTGTATCGTTCTATACCATGATCATATTAGGAGAACAAATAAGACAGCATATATAGAGAATAAAGATTATAATGAGTATTAAAGACAAAAGGTTTTTTTATTTGTAATTAGCAATAAAAAGTAAGGACACGGTCTTTATATAGCCTCGAAGGAGAGAGAGAGCTAAGTCTCAGCTTCCTCATGTTCTTCGCGAGATGGCGTTGGAGGCTGTCCATCCTGAGTTCATTCCAAATTCGAGGACCGATCCTAACTTTTTACAGGTACCCTAAGAACGTTCGTACCCTGGGGTAATTACGTAACCGTAACGTAACGTATCCCTTCAGACCCCTTCGTAACAGGCCGGTTTCAGCACTGGACCAATTTCGTGGGGCCGCATTTCATTCAAAGCCGCATTGCTAACAGCAATATACATTATAAAATATAGTGATCTTTGAATATTGTGAACATATCAAGACTCAAAAGCCAAGGGCAATATTAATAGGATATTGTCTATTGTTTCTTTAACAATTAGTCATTATTACTTTTTATATGGGATTTACTTAATGACGAGTACAGTTTATAAAAATGAGGTAATTAGTCGAAACAAATTCGGATTTTACAACCGTACAAAATTAGTTTCATTTATTTAATATATTACATCACTATAATAAGTTTTATTATAGAGACAAGCCTCTCGGGACTGAAGGATATGTAAAATGCATGTTATTAGATGGGATATATTGGTTATCTTTTGCTCAGGGTAATTAATCCAAAATTATCTTTTAGTTTTGTAGTTTTGAGCATTCTACATTCACATATTAATAAAATTTTCGTGTTAACAGTCTATTAATATACATAAATGTAAACGAGATGTAACAATCCAACATTAAATATAAATGTATATTGAAATTTATTTAATAATAGCGTAAGAAATAGTGTTTTGTAAAATATATCTTAAATTTTTTGTATATATATTTAATAACTAATAAAGAGAAATGTAATAAAGATTATATGAAGAGCTTTCAAATTAATATTAGTATTTATTAGTTTCTTTTCCCAAGTTATTGAGCTACGTTTTTGTAAATCTGGGCTATAGTTGTTTTATTTTTATGATATTAAATTTGTAGAATAAATTTTTATTAAAACGATAAATGAAATGTTAGCAGTATCGGCAATAAAGGAAAAATCTTACAATCGACCTCTATACAATCGTTATTCAATCGTAAAAATCATATTAAATTTTTATATTAAAACAAATTATTAATAATAAATATTCATATGAAAAGGTATTTTGTGAACTTCGAAGAACAAAACTTGGCTTCGATGTCGCAAAACAATTTTTGTGAAACGGTTTTAGTATTTTTGTTATAACTAAAAAAATTTCGAGAAGATGAGAGAGAGAAAGAGAGAGAGATAGAGATGGAAAGACTGAAAGATGCTAAGTGTACTACAACTAAATACACCATTACATTGGCATGTTTCATCCTTGGCACTGTTTTCTGAACGGCCGTTAATTTCCTGTCCTACTTTGATAAGTACTATGTCGAAGAAAGGAAAAGAATCCAAATGAATACTTATTGTTGGTAAAGTATCATTTCTGAAAGGTCCAAAGTCCAAGGAGAAAGAATAATAAATTACTTAGTTAAATCATGTATGACTATTGCCCGTATAGATTCAAATTACTTTTATCTTTTTAATATTCAGTCCTTTATATGTAAAGGTAAAATCTATAAGCTTGTATTACTTTACTCACACAAAAGAGATAACTCGTTTTATCGTAGTATTATGATTGATATTTGGTTAACTAAAGTAAGCGTTTCTCATGACAGCAGATACATATGCATATATAATACATATGCATATATGAATAATGTTTTATACATTAGATGAGCAAACATCTCCCAGGGATACAAGGAAGGACGTTGAATGGAGGTCGTTACTGAAAACGGAACCTTAAAGACATTATTTTCTCAATAGGTGAGATTGAATTTTGTTTACTTCAAACCCTTTGAAAACACTTTCCCACAAACTACCATATTTTTATATAGCTTACATGATAGTTGAACTTCTGACAAAAACTGAGTTTTGTACTTTGTCTAAAAGTATTGGGATCTCATGAATAATAATTAATATATCCGTATATATTTAAAATTGATTGCCAAGTATTTTAATGAAACAATATATATTAACGAAATTACGAAATATTAAGTTGTAACCTATTTAAATTCTATTGATAGAATAAGGATATAATAAGATATAATGAGAACTGAAAATATGTATCAGCTTAAGTAACCTTTGCAAAACAAATTTAAATTTCCATAACAAATTAAAATGATTCTTATCCATACAATCTAAGACATTTCAGAGTTTTCCTCAATTTTGTACAATATAAATGTATCTCAAAATGACAGGTTTATGGGAGAAGTGATTCTTTGAAAAGAATCTTCATACCACAGAAACTTTTTACGAAAATCTATTTTGCATAGGAAATGAAAAAATAGTGTTACATTAGCATATATATCCTTAATATAATATAAAAGAACACACGAATGTTAAAAAGTAATCTTGAATTTGAAAATGACAACATTGTTTAGTAAGTTTTGGTAAAATAGAAAAACTAATAAATGTTCACAAGTCGGATCAAGACGGTATCACAAAATGTATTAAGTAAAGCTTTAATCTCAGAAAATATCTAAGATATTAATCTCACGAAAAGCCATTGAACACTGAAAGGTTTCAGTTCCAAATTTTCGATGTTTTGAAATGAATGAATGAACCCGGAAATTGGATGTTATTTACGTTAATTTTAATGAAATTAAATATACATATTATGTTTCTCGAAAATCTGTATTGGAATTAATAACATATTACTTACTTTGAGCTGTAGGTATCCATTACTGGGCGAATACCCGGAGTTTGATGTTTCTCTTGTTTTTCCATTTTGGTTTAATACTGTTTGTTTATGTTAGTCTTTTTATTTTCATCTACAATCCATAGCCCTGGGTAAATCTGTAACAAAGAAAGATATCTATAGTAATAATTATAATATAGTAGTTTTTGATTATACAACTTTTAAACTTCAAAAAATATTTGGGGTCTTTTAATCTGTCTGCATTTAATTATTCTAATAGTGATGTTTCATATGTTTTTTTCTTTGAAATTGAAACAAAAAACAGATAAATAAATAAACGAACTAAAATATGAAAACAAGTTTAATTACAATATAAATAGAATTGAAACTATGATTCTTATTATTCTTATTAAGTTATTGGAGAAGTATTAGACGAAATGAAACTATATTTTTCGACAGACGAGATATGATATATATATGTGCCCATAATCACGGTTGCTGAAAAGTAACCGAAACGTCGGGAGTATGTATTTTTAAAATAATAAATTATGCATAGTATAATCAGAAAAAATATCAGTTTCATTTAAATGAAGACTCGCGAAAGTCTTAGATCTCATTATTGAACGAAATCCCAGGAATGTTTTACTGTACGATATGAAACTTTTGGTCGGTTACTAGATCATGATAAATTTGTTCTGTTAACTTTGTGAACGGCATTTTCTTTTGTAATCAATACTATCCCTTTTTTTTTGATGACGCAGGGAAACTGTTTTTACGAGCCGTGCAACGGGCCTTGGTGGGACCACAAGGGATGTGTGAGATCGGCATGGGCAGGCCCCTACTCACTAAAATCACTGCGAAAGCCATCGGCCGCTATGTCGGTGTACCCCGGATCTGTCATCGATAGGGCACACCAGCGAAATGAATATTATCCTATAGGGATATGCAACTATCCCTATAGGATAATATTCATATGCAATATGCAATATGCAATACTTGCTATATACAATACTTGCTATAGGCAAGTTTGCTTAGTTGACTTTATAATTTGTTCATGAATAATTTTAAAACTAAGTATTCATTTAGACTGTAAAGAGATGCAATTAATATTAGGTACCTGACATAATTCGAAATCAAGTTTTTATTTAAAATAACGAAGTACACAGAGTAGTTAACATAATTAATCTTTTCATTTTTTATTTTTTTAAATAATATAAATACTTCATTACAATTACAATATCAGTGACTGTCAAGTTTTAAAAAAGTAATTTATCGAATATTCGTCGCTTCAAGAAGAGTATCTCGAAATATATGACGTCATTGGTATTTAATGAATCATGGACTAAGCAATATTTATTTTAATTAAACTTGCCTATTTATGTAATACATATTATATATCAATTTTATTTTATTCATAAAGATTAACTGTGGTAGCAAAATCAAAATTACCATCTCGTTCAAATTTGTTCTTGAGACGGCTATTAAGGAGGCAATTAATTTGATTGAAAAACTATATTAAATCTTTAGTTTATTGTTTTATAAGTACTCATTATGGTTACAATGCATTGTTTTGTACTAACCTTTTATGTAGGACGCATAAATCGCTATTAATAATGTATTTTATTACTCTAGTTTTTTATATAAATTAGCTGATATTTTTAAAATATTCATAGTATTTATTTAATGAGTCACAAAGAGTTTGTGATGTAAATGTCATTGTTTGTAAAACATTAATATATGGATGTCTTATAATGTAATATAATTATGTGTCTTACCCAATCTAAGGTATCTTTTTAAATCTAAGTCATTCTGTTGCATTCTTAGAATTTCAATATTCGTAAAATTGGTTGTATTTTAATTAAAATGACTCGCTTTATTAAAAGCCGGATTTCCAGTTAAGTTTAATTTCGTTTGTTCTTATAAGTAGTATTATGCCTTGTCTTATTTGGCATCGCCACAATGTGGGTAGAGTTAACAGTTTTCATTCATAAATCCACACACATAGTATCAACGTAGCTATTGAATGAGAAATACGAAACGGTTCATATGTATGACTATGCAAACTTGGACTATATAAACAAACTATTTGGCGAATAATAAATAGACGTAATTTCAAGCACTATCAACTCTCACATTTGTAAGGTAAGCTGTTTCAAACAGTGTTCTATCAAATGTATACAGATGTTAACATTAAGATTAAGTAAATTGTAAGGATTATTTAAATAACATTCCTTAATTTAAAAGTATGAAATAAAATTAACTAATGGACAATAAATCACAGTGACCCGTTTCATAAAGATAGCAATTAAAATCTCGTTCTCTAAATCTCGAAGCATTTAAGATAAGCCGTATAATTTACGATAAGACTGATAACATTTTATTGTTATCAATCAATTAAAAATTTCTTTCAACATCAATAATAAAAACAATGGGCCATAATTTTAAGATATTTCCATCAAAAGGTGGTTATAAAACATATGATTGTTTAATTTAGATGTATTAAGTTATTTTGTTTAAACCACAAGAATTGAGTATAATGTTATAAACATAATCATAAACTGTCATTGTAATAAAAGGTTGAACCAAGATCGTGAGGAGGATTCTATGAGACACTTATGCTTATTTAGTCAACATTTGAATATTTTTTTTGATTTTGATGTTGAGAATCAATTACATCAACATATATATTTTTTACACAAACTCATTTGCTAAGGGATATTAATCGTAGAATGAAGCTATATAAATGCTTTCGAACAAAATATGATTTGCTAGTGAGTAATCCCCTTGAGACTATGAAGTTAGATTTATTATATTTTTACCCTTTATTTGTATCATAAAGATATGAGGTGTTTAAACAGATTTAATACATTTATAGTGAACTTATAAAGAGTTTGGTTAAAATAGAGCATATTTTACAGCATTGCGGATAATATAAAGTCATATTTTGGACAATTAAATCTCAAACTTCCATAATTATATCAACTTTATTTTTGTGCGTTAAAATATAAGAAAACTATGTGATACAATTCTTTGATTTTATTTAAATTTTGTACTTAATATTTAAATGGTTTGGTATTTTAAGGTTAAAGACTTGAAGTAATCGTGAATATAAATGGCAAGGATACAAAATAAGACATGAAATATTGTTTCAACCTTGCACACGTAATTATAAATGTATGTTTGTTCATTATACAAAGATCGGTCTAAATTGCAGGTAAAACAACTATGCAATAATAAAGGGCAAAAATTTATACTTAAAACTGATAAGAATAACAAAAGAAATTCAAATTCCAATAGATTTAATTTAATTTATGTTGCCAATTTCGAAAGGATGAAAGGAAATAAATATATTTTTAAAACAAGGATAATGTTTCAGAAGTAATTGAAAACAAAAATACTTTCCGTTTAAGTCTTAAATAACGAGATAATAAGAAAATTTATGTTACTTATAGATAAAAGACGTAAAATAATTGTAAGGTTGAATATTGAAAACATTGACATTAATATTCATCGCGGCTCAGTGAAGCGATTGGATATGAATTTTGTTTAAAAGTTTGTCGTGTCAATGAAGGAGGCGAAACAAATTGTTTTCATCTTAGATTTTCGCGTATACACAATATAAAACTAAATTTTTCGGATACTTTCTTATTTCTTTTTTAATTATTTTATATCTACATAATCCCGACCTTTCGGTTCCTTTACAGCAACCCTGAACACAAATATGTAGACGGGAAAGAAAAACTATTGTTAACTATATATAGTTAGTTATATTGATATTGAATTTTAATATTATAAAATGATTTTCAAAGTGATGAATGAATATGGACGTGTTGAAACATGTTGATAACTCACCGATGCAACACGACACAATTATCAGACTTTATCAACGTCTTAGATCACTTGTAGTTACACATCAAATACATTTCGATCTGTTCATAATCCTTACACACTTCTCAACACAATACAAATATATACAGCTTGTACTTTATCTAGTATTGTCTTTTATGAATAATAATATTTACGAGAAATATTAAGTAGTTTAAAATAAAGCTTTTTTACTTCTAGTATAAGCAATTTTCTATATTTTCTATGAGAGAATCCTGAGTTCAAAAACTATTTATTCTTTGAACACAGAGCTCTTCACATGACATCTGAGTGATTTTAATCAGAGAGCATCATTACAACAAGGGATTAGGAACTGGCCACTGGTATTTTTCTTATTTCCACGGATTTGGTCTTGTTAGCTCGTGTTTAGCTAACTAGATCTGGTCTTTGGTCCAAACAAAGGAGAAGTTCCAGAGAAGCAGAGGAGAGAACGTAATTCACAGGCATTACTTACACGAACTCTAGTTTGGATAGTTTCATTGAGGTATTTTTGTCTATCACTACGATATCTTTCCGATTTTGCGAGAACTGATTGGAGATTGGCAAAAAAATTTGAGACCCAAGTCATAACGATTTTCAGAATGATTAAAGTAAAAAATACCTAAGGTTGAAATATAGCTCTTCCCTTATAATATATTATGATATGTTATCTTCAAAGGCATGTCAAGATCCATATACACAAGATATTACTTATAGATGTTTATAGATTGTATTGTTGTATCCGGAGAGCCTCATGGCTACAATTGTTCCTTTTCCACTCAAACATATCTATGTAAGTACTGAAAGAATGGTATAAATATACAAATATACTAACATTAGTCACCGAAAATAACGCTGCTTGTTTTTTAGCTCCAATTAAAAAAAATCACTCTTTACGATTTGGAATGGCAAGTAATTGTATAAACAGGGAGATTTCCAAGTAAAACACCTAAGGCGAGGGCATGGTAATCACATTTTTATAGGTTCCATTCATGTGTTTACATGAGGAGCTGGTGATGAGGTACATACCTTATTCTGCACATACTGAAACATCTAATACCAACTCTATATAGGCATAAGTATTAATTTGCAGTCGTTGTTTGACAAGAACGTGTTTGCTGCTTCACAAGTAATGGATATGATATCGTCTCTTTTACGGAATATTTCCAGACAGACAGAAAATATGTAGCATTGTTATATTCGATGACGAAATAGTAATTAAAGG